CCGGACTTTCAAACACTAATTGTGAGTATCTCTTCATCTGTTTCTTCCCCCCCCCTTCTTTCTTCCTTTTGTTGTGCACCCCTTTGCGTTTAGTGCGTGGGGTGCTTTCTTCTTCGCTGCTGCATGCAGTTTTGAGATTTTGCATTCTTAATGCGCTATCTCAGGCTCCCTCCTTGATTCTCTTGTGCACCTTGCGCCTTTTCCCTTGTCCTGGCGCATCTGGCGTGGGACTTGGCTCGTGGCCTCTGGCCTTTGCCCCCCTCCCTTCTTGGGTGGGACTCATGCCTTTCTTCCGCTCTTGCGTTTCTTTCGCGCCCTTGCGCTCCCCTCTGCTGCCGAGCACTTCATGTGTTCATGATTGGTTTCCTTTCTATTCATGTGTTCATGTTGGCACCCTTTTCTATGTCTTTGCTATCTTTTCGCGCTCTTGCCCCCCCCTGCAGTTCAGCACTTCATGTGCTCAACTTTACACATCTTTCTTGCATCTTCTCGTGGCCGAGTACTTGCCGCACTCGCCTCGCGCTTTCTTCAACTTCCTTTTTCCTCTCTGAGTTCTCTTTGAGTCTCCTCCCTCTTCCCATTTCTCTTCCTATCTTTCCTTTTGGGTCTTATCCCTGCACGCCTTCTCTGCTGCTCCTCCTCTCATCCCTGTCTTTCTTGCACTTTGTGCTTACCCACTCTCTTCAGGTCGCTCTTGCCCCTCCAGGAACCCAGGCTTGTACTCTGGATATCGCCAAGTTCCACCGTACTTGTCCTGTCCTGCCTTCTCACAAGCCGTGGCTTGTTGTCCAGGGTCTCTCTGGTCAATTTTTCATTGATCATGATCATCCTTTCGGTGCTGCTTGTGCAAGCAGCAATGCGGGTATGATCGCCAATGCTGTGGTAGATATCTGGCGAGGGGAGGGTGTCTTCCCTGTCCCCAAATACGAGGACGATCTCAAAGTCTTCCGTACCCCTTCTGCTGGGGGAAAATTTCGTAATGGTGATTTTTTCTATGACTATGATCGTTCCGAAATGCTACGTCGCATTGACTCTTTAGGTGTGCCTTGGCATGACGAAAAGGGAGACGACCACTTCCTTTTCGTCACCACCTTCATTGGCTTCCTTTGGGACATCCCTAGGAAGCTTGTCAGTTTGCCTGAGGAGAAGCGCCTCAAGTTCCATGAGCGCGTACGGCATTTCCTCAGCAACTTCAAATGCCGCCCTTGCCACTTACTCGACGTCGAAAAAATCCATGGCTCCCTCTGTCATGTCGCCTTTGTTTACATGGATGGCCGCTCGCATCTCCCCTCCCTCTCTAACTTTGCATCTTCTTTTCATAACAATGAACTTATCACGAGACATCCTTCCCACTCCATGTTGACTGATCTCTCTTGGTGGCTCCAGAGATTGGAGGTTACTGGTGTCTCCCGTGCTCTGCGCCCCCATGGTCCTCTCCAGGACCTTGGCCTGTACGTTGATGCTTCCACATCTTGGGGTATTGGTATTGTCATTGGGGACAACTGGGCTTCTTTCCAGCTTTCTTCTACCTGGAAGGTGCCTGGCCGTGACATCTGCTGGCTTGAGACCCTCGCTGTCGAGCTCCTCTCTTATTTCCTGGAAGACATGGGTTTGCAACACTGCCGTTTGCTTATCCACTCTGACAACCAGGGTACCATTGGTGCGTTAGAGAAAGGGCGTAGCCCAAACTCTCACATTAACCTGTCCTTGCGCCGTACTTATCTTGTTCTCTCCGACTGCTCTATTTCTGCAGATATTGTTTACATTGCTTCCGAAGCTAACCCTGCTGACCCCATCTCGCGCGGAGAACCGGGGGAGGCTGGGAAGCAGATTTTCCCTGCCTTTAAGCTCCCTGATGAGCTTGCTGACTGTTTCCTCTATGTTTAGTCTTGACCGGAAGCTTACATCGTCGACCAGTGTCGTCGAGAGGTCCGTGGGTGAGAAACAATCTCATATCTCTATCTCACCGCGCCCCACGCGGCCTCGAAATTCCTTTCATCCTTTCCAACGTTCCTCGCCTGTCTCACCTCCTCTGGTTTCTAAACTTTCCCATTCTACTCCCAAACCCAGTTCCCCTCACTCCTTTTCTGAATTATCTGCAATCTCCAACTCTTCCTTGCACCCTACCCGTGGTCGTAAGCCCCACCCTGGCCGTTCTATTGTTCACAGTGAATTCCGCCCCCACGTTCCTGCGGCTCATCGGATTTTCTCGTGGCGTACGCCTTTTGGCTCTCGTCATCGACATGATATATCTCTGCGTTTCCCCACTCCCGTAGTCGAATCTGCATTGATGGCTGTCCATGGAGCCCTGGCTCCCAACACCAAGTCAACGTATGCTGCGGGCCCTCTTCGTTTTACTCAATTCTGTGACAAGTGGGGCATCTCTGAGGAGGATCGTATGCCCGCCGATTATGTCTTGCTATGTGCCTTTATTGGTGAATACAAAGGCCTCCAGTCTGGTAATACCATTCGGTCATGGCTGGCTGGCTTGCGTAGTTGGCATATCATGAACCATGCACCTTGGCATGGTGACGATAGTTGGGTGCATCTGGCTCGCATCTCAGCTAACAAGGAGGGCACGAAGCACAAACGCCCCCTCCGTGCTCCTGTCTCCATTGAGCACCTCTCTTGTTTGCGCCGCGCTTTGAATCTTGCCAACCCCTTCCACGCCGCTGTCTGGGCCGTCGCCCTTGTCACCTTCTTTGGGTGCCGCCGCTTGGGGGAAACTACCCTGACTACTGCCAGGGCTCTTGACCCAAAATATCATGTACTGCGCTCGACGAAGTATGTCTTTATTCTTCTTTCTTTACTCCTGTTCTTCTTTCTTACTTTCTACTAGAATTGTATTCCGTACTTTGCGTGATGGTGCTCGTTCTGCAAGTTTTGACATTCCATGGACAAAAACAACAAAGGAAGTTGGAGCCACTGTCATCCTCACTGCTCGTCGGGAGGGTGATCCTCTCTGTCCTGTCTCTGCTCTCAAGAATCACCTGGATGTCAACTCTTCTATCCCATCCTCGTCAACCCTCTTTGCTTACACTTCCACATCTGGTCAACCCAAGAACCTCCTCAAGCACGAATTCCTCAACTTTGTCACTGACATCTGGTCTTCTGCCATGCTTGCCCATATCCTGGGCCACAGCTTCCGTATTGGCGGCGCTGTGGAGCTTTTGCTGGCAGGTGTACCTCCCGAAATCGTCGCCGCTACCGGGGGTTGGACATCCCTCGCGTTCTTGCTGTATTGGCGCCGTATGGATGAAATTTTGCCCATGTCCACTTCAAAAGCTTATAATAAAGCACAACTTGACCGCCTTGCCTCTATTTTCGAAGATTTTCGCATTGCCCACAAAATTCCTTCTTCCTTACTTGATAACTCCCCCCCTTAACTCATGTGTATCTTCATCCCTATCCTTGCCTTTCCCTGTAACATAACCACTTCGATTACTTTACGTTTGCAAATTCTATGAGTAACTTAACCTTTCTTCCGAGTGACGCTCATTTGGGAAGCCAGCTTGGCTCTCTCTTGCCTCACCAACCCGCCGGCGTGAGCTTACACTCGGGTTGGTACAGCCGGTTGGCTTGGCAAGCCCAAATTGAGCTTATTGAACGCTCAGACCTTGTTCGCACTTTCTTTGAGTCCGGGCAAAGTCTTTGCACAACCAAGTTATTCGTGTACACGAATTTCTTGGCTTCTTCTTTCTCTGTACGCTACGCAACAGTTATCTTATTCTAAGATCCGGGTTGATGCCATGTTTACCGATGCACCGAACCAAAGCTCGATATATTCCAGACGGTTTAACACAAGGGGCTGATCGACCATGACTAAACTTCCTGAAGAATTAAAGGTCCGAGTCGAGCACTTGATGTGCCTGAAGGAGCAGCGAATTATGTTGGACGCTTTGTGGAGGAATCCACGAATTTCATCCACCGATGAGTTTTCTGAAGTAAACTCCTGCAATTGGTGCCATGGAGCCAGTATACCGACAAGCCAGGGGTGGTAAAAATGAAGGGCTGAGAGTTGAGGAGCTGTTGAAAATAATTTGATGTGGTGTCCTTCAGCATAACCTGGGTCAAAGGCAACAGTCGCAGTGGTAAGGAGGGGCAGTGAAATTTCAGCAGCAAAGGAGTCGTTGGGGGGAATGCAGAATTCGGCTTGCTTCCACCGCTCCGAGACGGAGACAAACATTGTCAAAATTTCCACTGGGGGATTGTAGTACCAGGCACGTAGCTCTTCCCCGCTTGTAAGGCAAAAGGAGAGGGGGCAACTTGCAGTTCTAGATAGCCAGTCACGAAGAAGATTTGCTTGAGCCTTGCATCTTCTCCTAGTGAGGGCGAGGTGTATATTGCTCCAAAGCAAGGGAGAGGACCAAACAAGATCTCTCCAATCTTGGCAAATTTTTCCTAGAAAAAAGGGGGTTATCACTGGCAAACGTTCACCCTTGCTGTCGCCATCGTTTAGCGGGCACGGTAACTGCATGGCCTTGTAGAATATCGCAGCTTTGATCTCGGCTGGAAGTAGAGAGTTGAATGAGGATAGGGAATTGATTTCTGAAGGCAATCTTTGGAGTTGTAGGCATAAAGCGTTCCTCATCTCATTTTTTGAATGATACTGGCATGGGCCAGGCTCCGACATGCTTTTGGCACTGTTACTCATGCTGCTGGGTTGCTATAGGATCGGATATGCTGACCTGAAGGTTACTTGCTACTCCGGGGATTTGTCGACGTTGCCTGCCACGGTGGACACTGGACACGACGTCAAGATGAACTGGAGATAAACGCACACCTTTTGAGACATCATACATGCTTGTGACTCAGTTGTGACCGTTGTGTGACCGTATCCTCCGACTTGTAACCTCTTGCAACCTGACCAGCTCACATGCAACGATCATTGCGTCGACTCTCGCCATACAAGTTTGAGATCTCGGCCTTAAGCTTAATGGGCTATGGATTGCACCAGGGATGCGCAAGCAGTGAAGAGCAAGGGCGGGAGCTCATAAAAAGTTATCGGTTTCATTTTCAATGGTGTGTCCTCTTCTCTCTTCCGAACGAAATTGTCATAGAGACTTACACTGGTATGGAAAAGTATCATGTCTAACCCAAGTAGGACAAGAAGGCCCATCTCGGACTTTTGCGCCCAACACTTCCCTATTGCCTGCACTCCGATGTATCTCACATAGGGCATGTCAATGTGAGTCTTTTTTTGCTTCACTCCCAACCGAAAGTTTCTGAATCTATTCGGGGTGGCAGGGTACACTTGAGCTTAACAAGTACTGAGTGTTGTGGCTCTTCCTTCCGAGGCTTTACTGGCTGCATTAAAATCAGCCTGAGCATCCTCTCCAACCTCATCTTTGAAATATAAGAGGTCGTCATGAGATTGGCGAAGCAAAATGACCAAGCCTTAGTACTGAGCTTTGAAATCTCTGGCTTGACGCACGTAGGCCACAAAGCACGCGTGGCGCATGATGTCAAGATTGAAGTCATGAAACTTGCGGACGTCGAAAAGGGCTCGGAGCCGATGTGTCCTGAACCTGATGTGAGTTTTTTCAGCCACAAATCATTGCCAGTCAAAATGAATTGGCTTTCCTGATAGGTTCACATACCCTTGCCTCCGCTACAGAAACTCAGAATGATCGTTGAGCGGCTGCGGCCCATGTCGGGCATCTTGGCCGTCCGAGTGAACCTCGATCCATACCGAGGGAGTGACAGTGGAGACGGAGTGGAAGGATTGCGTGAACCCCAAAAGTTCGTTTCTTTTGGTAGCTTCTGCGCCTGACATTGATTAGGAGACCAGCCCAGGAAGATAATCCTGACGAACCGCCAGAAGAAGCACGTAATCCCGAAGAATTATTCACGGTTCTCATGTCCGTCCGAAGTTTCCTCAAATTTTTCCTTGAATAGCCATGTTGTTTCGACTACAATTGCATGTATGTGAACCATATCATCTCATATGGCTGGGCCTAACTAAATAAGCTCAGTTTAGGTATATGCCAACACCATTGTATGATCCTCTACGTCTCATTGGAGATGTGGCGGAAGCTGGGGGCGGTTCATCAAGCAGTCGATGAAGGACCCTCCCCACCCAAGCTCAACGCCTTCATCAACGGCGAACCATCAGCCATGACCATGGGCACAAGCGGACCTGGCCTCGGTATCATAATGACGCCCAACAAAGCTCAGAGGTATACGAGGCCGTCGATTGCGCTTCGATGGCTAGTGCCACCTCCCTCCGCGTTCCCGTTCTCGATAGGTGACCTCGCCCCACTGCCGCCGAGTCGGATGAGAACGTTCATGTTTTTCCTTTTATGCTATCTCGTCCAAGTCTGGTAGCCAACTTTTCCTTCGTTGTCTCCAGCCCCTCGTTCAAACTGCCCCAAAGGCGCCTTGCCTTTATAACACGGTGGATGCGGACAGCCCAATCATGAGCTATACGTCAGCCTAGATCGACGCTGCCTAATTGGTAATTCAGACCTCTCAGTCTAGCCATGATGGCGAGTGCTTCAGCCGCCGTGTCCAGCCCTTCGCTTTGGGACCCTTCTGGCCATCATTATACCAGATAGACCGCGGATAACCCAGCCATCAGATACCCAACAGCCCAGATAGATGACACTCAGTTGGTGACGTTTCTCAAGTTCAACCTCATCTCCGACATGATCGTCCTGGACCCCCTCCTCTTTACCACCCCAATGCAAATTTTCTCCCGCACAGGGTCTTCGCTCCGAATCAGTCAAAAATTTCAAGGCCTCGGCCCCGGACTTCCTTCAACTCTCACCTCTGGATCATTGGCCCACAACGCCACAGGCGGGCATTCCGCATTACTAGATGTCGTCTACTCCCAGGCGAACACGAGCGGTAACAGTGAACGTCCCAATCCCAAGTTACCTTCCCAGCTGGCTTCAGAGCTTATCTCCTCCGACGACCATTCTGGCTCTTCCCCCATATTGGGCTGTTCGATAGCATCGACAGCGATCAGGTGGAAAGTACCACGGCTGTCGAAGCTGGGGCAGTCACAGCTCTCGATGCATTATCTTCTGTTGAGCAGCAGCGCGAACACAACCTTCTCCCCTGCAGAAGTTTCATGCAATTGATGTCCGGAGCGATGTCTGTGCGACCGTCCTGAGACAGATACGGAGATGGTCCCCAGTGAGCTACCTGTGGATGAGAATACCGAGGACTCCTCCTCCCACCAGCGCAGGTTCGCAGAACAATGAGATATTTGTGCGGAGGATGAACTGGAAGGCGAGGACTCGGAAATGTGAGGTGTCTGTGGGGAGGTAGAGGCGTCCGAGGTGTGAGATGTCTCTGTGAATGATGATGAGGCAGCATGGGGGTTTGTTCAATGGCGAGGAAGGTGTCGTTATAGGAGGAGGCGTCAGGTTTGTTTGCGGATGTAGGCAGGGGAGTTGGAGGTGTGGCTGGAAGCGCTCCAGGCTTCACCTGCTCCTGATTCGCCTTGCTTAAACTGCCCTTACTACCCTTTTCAAACTTGCCCCCGGTCGTCAGCTTCTTGGATAAGCTAGGGCACTTCTTGACAATGCCATTGTCGCTTGATATATTCCTCTCCTCCGATCCTCAAAAACTCTAATAGCGCTGCGTTCCGGCTATTGACATTGAATATTGCCAGTACCCAGATGCAAACCCCAGGCTGGCACTGACTAGATTGTTCATGAGCACACGCTTGACAAGCTACCCAGGAAGATCTGCCTGCCGGGCTTTCCGCAGGACGAGGTAGTAGTTCAGGCTGAGGATGCGGGCGGTGCTGAGAGGCCTAGGGGTGGTGCGTGCTGTTGAATGGATCATCCTTGGACGTCGTCCGAATTGTAAAGTTTTTAACACACCTTTCTTTGTTTTTTCTTTCCTCGTTCGTGGTGTATGTTTCGTGAAACGGGTCTGGAGGAGCGTATTGCTCCCGGTGCTTTTTGAAGAGCTTCTTCCCCGCGGTTCCGAGCATGGCCGACATGATAAGCTAGGCTATGCTAGCGTTGGTGGGGTATATATGCGGTGGAGGAAGAAGAAGTAAAAGAGCGGTTGACATACTTCTATGGAGTTTGGACATTCAGCCTGTAATCGTGAACGTCATCACGCAACCAATAAATTCTCTCCCGTTGTACAATTCCACAAAGATGCCTGCTGTGAACGACTTAACAAGTGGGGTACACCCGCAAAGGAATTAATCACGTTATGTACATAAACATTTCGGAGATCTTTAGTTCTACTAAGAGTACCACCAACTTTTGCAAGACCCGACCTGCCCTCCATGAGAGGAGCCACGTCTGTATCAATCATGGCCTGGGTATTCAAGTTCATTCCAGCAATAAAACACCATTCAATGTTCGGAGCGACTTCATCCCGAGGTGGGTACAAAAGTGCAACGTAAATTCAAGGCCTGCTTTCACAAGGCTGTTTAATTCTTCTTGTATATCCGAACTGACGACAAGTTCAGACGTACTCGTCATGCTCACCGACTTGATTTGAGCTACAGTCGTTCGTTCGGAGCCTATCTTGTCGGCTCGCGTAGCGCACTTTCGGAATCTGTGCACAAGCACATCTCGGAACAAATGCATGTGTTCATTGAGTGAAGTGGCGCCGTGGTACGAGAAGCTTCGCAGATTGGGGAGAAGAATTCCTGAGTAGAGCCGTTGCAAGAATTCTCCGTTGAGTAACTTGATGCGTGGATAACTGAGGAAGTTGAGGGATAGATCCTTCACTGACGGGATGTTTTTCAAAGCCTGAATCAAATCATGGTTCGACATTATCATGGCACTCCAAGTAAATCTTTCCAACAGAGGCGAGGATTGAAACGAGTTTGTGATTTGAAGCAGGACAGCGTCCTGCGGCCCGTTCTCCGCCGGGTTGTAGAGGGAGAATTCACGCAAAGAAGGAAATCTGACTTGCCCTTTGAAAATCCAACCTGATTCAACAAAGACATTGTCAACTTCAAAATGGAGCTCGAGATATTGCAGATGTTCCAACAGGAGCGGCCGATGGAGTTCTTGCTCCAGTGAACGCTCCAGATACCTTGATTCAATGGCTGTAAATGTGCAGCGGACTATATGAAGCGCATTTTGGAGAAAAAACCGAATCTCATCCCTGTAACAGGATTCTGCAAAAAACTCCTGCAATTGGTGCCATGGAACTACTAGCACCTTGCGCAAGAGCCCGAAGGAGCGACTAGCATGAAGATGAAGTTGTGAGAGTTGCGGAGCCATGAGCCTGAGTAAATCCAACTCATATCCTGTTGAAGCTACGTAAATAGTAGCAGTAGTAAGAAGGGGTAGGGATTGTTTGGCGGGGGAAATGATGTTGAAGCAAGCTTGGAGGTTGTGAAAAGAGATGTATATTTCTCTCCATCGTTCTGAGATAGACGCAAAGAGGGTCAAAACTTTTACCGGAGCATGATACCGCCGCGGCCGCGTCTCCAGAAAGTCCTCCATATCAAGACAGAAGGAGATGGGGCGTTTTCCGGTTCTGGACAGCCAGTCACGGAGAAGAACAGTTTGGGCCTTGTAGTTATCCGACGACAGCCGTAGATACAGGGTTGTCCAAAGGATTGGAGTTGACCAAACGACATCCCTCCAACAACGGCAGATTTTTCCCAGAAAAAAAGGATTTGCTCCCACCAAAAAATCAAAGTCAGTTAACGAGCCCAAGGCATTGTAGAATATCTCAGCCATGATCTCTACTGGAAGCTTGTTGATTGGGGATAGAGAGTTGAGTTGTGAGTTCAATTGTTGGCGCTCCTTTTCTTGTTCAACTTGAAGAGGAACCCGCGTGTGTTCCGTTAGTGCTTTTGTTTCCGCCATTTTCGATTTTTCAACTGCCACTTGTCGGAGTAAAGCGTTCTGGGTGGTGTCATTACCTTCAAATCAATTGTCGTTCTAGGCGTGGTAGTAAGTGGTGACTCACCAAGGTGTTTAAAAAAGGGTTAACTCAAGGTTAACTAGCGGTTACAAAGGTTTGTCGAAGGTTGTGATCAAACCACAAACGTGAGCTACTCGTTAGGAGAGACTGGAGGGTTTTACTTTGTTGGCCATGTTTGTTCCAGCTCTTCCCGTTTTATGATCAACACCCAACTGCCAACATTTGGCATCGACCTCCACGTTCCCTCCTTTCAATCTTCTGTGACAGGTTTCTCCTTCACGAATTTAAACTTGCTATTTGGCATTTGAAGCTCAGGGAACTCAAGTCCAACATTTTACGGCTTATACCAAGCTTATACTGCGGGTTCCTTCGAAAGACAAAGTTAATCTTCTATCGTATGTGAGCCTTGCACAGGCGAAGAAGTGCTGAAGACCTTCAAGAGTAAGTGTAAGAATGGACGAGCTGTTGGGTCAACTCCAATTTCATTCAATCGGTGTGTCCTCCTTTTTTGCGAGCAAATTGCTTTCATAGAGGATTAGGGGATGGATCCTCCGGCGATCTGTCCGTACTCTTTACCAAGAATATCACAACCATTTGGATGTTTCCAGGTCGCTTCGCGTCCCCAAAAAATACCCCGTCTGTTTTTCAAGGTCAAGGTCAAGTGACCAGCGCGGTACTAGAATAACTCGATCGCGTCAAACCGATCGTTTACCAACCTCCAGCAGCTTATATCTATAGCGCAAATCCGTCGCCTCTCTCTCTCTCTCTTGATACACAACGACATCGTCGATTACCCTGGTCAAATTAACCGCCACTCCACTAGCCCTATATTCAACATGTCTTCCCTTCATGTTGTGGCCACCGTCATCGTCCAATTCTTTCTTGTTGCCTGGGGGTGGATTTGCAACAGCATTCGCAATCTCGCCCAGTCCTTCAAACCCTTCGCGATGCTTCCCCAGTTTGCGCACGTCTCCCTCAGGGAGCCCGCCCACACTCAAGATCGCATCTTAGAGGGGGCACATCAATGTAAGTGTTTTGGACCACGCCTAGTCGAATTGAGCTCAACTCTTTCGCAGCAGCAGTTTCCGATATCGCGTGCGGTTCCTCGAAAGGCCCTATCCTGCCCGTGTACACCACCACTCAAGGCCAAAATACCCAGCTACGCGGGCTCCAGCAGCCCACCAACGCGATTTGGAACCCATATCTCCCCGCCGACGTCACTACAACACCTGCCGTTCACAGCCCCTCGTTGACCTCAAAAGATTTGGATGTTTTTCAACCCTCAGTGATATCTTATCCGGAGCCAACCTACTCGCCCAATCTGCCACGAGCTACGATGAGAAATTTAGAAGCAATCACGAGCCCAAAACATCTGAAAAAGCTAGATTCTGTTATATTCCCCTCCCCGCAAAATCTTACATCCACGAAGGTCGTCGCAACCGTCTCTACACCCGTCGAGCTTCCACCGACATCGGGGAGTGCCACTCTGGCTGTCGTGGCCCCTCTAAAGCAAGAAGGCCATCCTTCGCTGTATGACTGCGAAAACGCTCTCCGGCAAGTCGATAAGTCTTTCATCGAAGCCGATGCCCTCTGCATATCTGAAACACAAGTTTCATCTTCTCTTGATTTTGTCGAAAACTCTCGTCCTTCCCATTCCGATCAGACTGCCGGCTCAATCAAGAAAAAAAGACGTGCTGTGGTTGCCATGCCTATGCCGGCATTTGAAACATCCACGGACTCTCCATACAGGAATGACACCACATTCAAGGAACCAACTGCATCAAGCGCTCTTACTGCTGCTGATTCCCAAGACGATAGCCTTCTCGACGTCGACGCAATCATCGCTCTGGCGGGTACATTATGCAACCCAACTTCTTCCAGCTCGAGTGGATCATCTGATATCGCCCAATCCTTAACTCTTCAGGTCGATCCAACGACACCCTCTCAAACGTCTGGGAATATGGTTATTGAAGCCCCTACACCTCAAATCCGTCACTGTTATCTGCCCATTCAAAACGACCTCGAACCTTCAAATTCTCCAGAATTTACGCTACCATCCCCCCCTCAATCACCGAACTCAGTCGACTTCGATCACTTGCGACAATACCACGAAGAAGAATCAACTCTTGCATATCTTCAACATTCAGGCCAAAACTCTCCACGGTCAACACGTATCTGTGGATCTCTCGAAGCGATACGAGAAGAGGACGAGGAACCCTCTTTCTACGACGATATACTCGCAACCCCTTCGCCCCCTTCCCATCACGAAAGTACATTCCCCGACAATCCCCAAGTTACACGCCAAGATTCAGCGTATGAACCCCCCACTACCAAACCTGAGAGGAAGAAAAGACGTTTTTCTCTGGTTGATATCCAACCAAGGTCCAAAGTAATTCCTACCCAGAAGAAGAAACGGCGTTCTGCCCCGTCAGTACTAGGACTGGGATGGTTGAATAAGACCACTTCTTCACCCCAAGAAAGAGAACGATCGCCCGGCATCGAGCCTGTTCCTCCTGCATCTCCTCTTCGCCCGCTCCTTCTCCCAATGCAACTTGCCATGCGAGGAAACAGCACTCCTCTCAAACGCGACCATTCCTCGACTGTCTCAACGCACGCCCCGAAGCGGCGCTCATGGTTCAAGAACCTTACCTCCCAACATTCGTCCTCTTGGCAAGTCTCCCCTCCAATTCTAAACCTTATCCCTGCCACGCCTCCTTTGAACGATAACCCCAATAAAGCCATTGAAGATCCCACAATTAGCAACGGCGCACCACTTTCCATCGACCCCAAGTTCCTCTACCCTGCTGACCCCTCTTCTGTATTCGAACCTGACGAGATTATCGACACTACGGATCCGCCCTCGCCTACCATAACTGAGCCGACACCAATTGAATCAGATTCAGATGACGTTGCTGAAAACAGACGATCGAAGAGTCTTGCTGAGCTCATTGCGCTCATTGATAGCTATGATTTCGAGAATGGACGTATGAAGGGGGACTCTTCTGAACCTCAGCTTGGTGATTTATCGTCGTCTGAAGCCCAGCTGGACTGGGCTGCTACCTCTTCTTCGTCGTCGAGCAGCGATGACGAGTCGTATTTTGATGAGTCGGAGGATTCGATGTCTATCGGTTTGGCGCTGTGATTGTGACGTGCTATTGTCTGCCTCCATCTTCCCTTCTGGTTCCTCTCCGTTTCTCGTCTCTGTCTTTCTCTCATTCTGTTTCTTGTCTCTGTCTTTCTCTTCATCATCTTGTCTCTTTCTCATTTTGTATATCTCTCCCGCTCCCGATCTGTACCCGCGTCCTTTTGTCTCTGTCTCCTTTTCTTCGTCTCTTGTCTCCGTTTCTTTCCCTCTCACTCTGTATCCTCGTCTCCCTCTCTGTATCTGTCTCTGTCTTCACCTTCGTCTCTCGTCTCGGCCTCTGTCTCTGTCTCAACCTTCGTCTCTTTTCTCGGTCTCTTCACCTTCGTTTCGGGTCTCGGTCTCTGTCTCTTTGTCCCAGTGTCCGCCTCCATCTCTCTGCCTTATCTCTTCGTCTTCATACATCATCTTTCATCTCTCCCCCACCGTTTCATTGCGCATCTTTTAGATTTTCACTGTATGCATCAGATCCCCGATATTTACGATATGCCATTTTGCACTGACTAAACGATATATCATTATTCTTAACTTATTTCCCTCTCTTCGTAGGATCGATACCTTGTACATAGTTAACGCAGAAATACATGATTTTCCTCAAGACTGAAGGGAGATTTGAGGTCAACCGGTCACTGATCACCAATAATTGACTGAGTTGCCTGGAGTATAGCTAAGGTATATCCGACGCTTCCAGTGGTTGGCTCGAAACTAATGAAGAACACACAGATTTCTAGTATTGGAGTAATTAGATTCAAGCGCCGTCAAAAGTACAGAAAGAGGCGTACCTTTCGCTTAGGCTGCTCTTCTGAGTGCATCGGGCTTCGCTTGCGCTTTGACTTCAAGAGTCGCGTCGCATATTTGGGATTTCCCTCTGCTTGTTCATCAAGTTCATCGGAGACACTTGAAGGCAACATGACGCGTTCTTGGTCTTCCCAAGGTACCTCAAGCGCCATCTTCGGAGGAACGTAGATCAACCCTCTAGGTGCTATCTTGATCCCAAACTTCTCCTTCATCACAGCCAGAGTGATAGGCTCCCGAATCCTCCAAACGCCCTTCACCCGGTATGCAAAATCGTACCTATCGCGGTCCTTATGGTGCGAGTTGTACTCCTTGTTCCCAAGCCCGTCTTCGGGGAGTGGTTCGTCCCCGGGGTTCCGTGTACGCGCACTCTCGATCTCGCAGATGTAGCCAACGTGTGAGAGGGGCGCGTTGAGGTAGAACCAGATGCGTTTGATGGACGGTGAGATGAGGTAGCGTCGAAATTCGTAGGTCTTTTCTCCTCGCACGATTTGTTGCATGCAATCATTCGTCATTGGCAGGATGGCGTCTGCTGGAGTCGTTCGCGGCGCCATTTTGGGATCGTTGCACCGTAGCTGGGGAGGAAATGGCTCGAATTCAGGGCTGCAAGCTGTTGTGGTAACATTGAAGAACGCAAACGCAATCACAACCTGAATGATTGATCAATCCCTTTCATGTCTTCTTCCTTTTACTTGCAAGATCTTCGCTTCCAGATTGCAGACCGTCTGGCGATGCTCTGAAACCTAGTGCAGCAGCTGGTCTTGGTGACTAAGGATTTGTGGGACTCATAATTCGATTCGCAAAAAGGTAAGCACTACATTGGTACACATGCCTCATTGTCCCTCTAACAATTCTACTCTACTTTGCAGCAACGACGCGGTTCGTAAGATTTCACAAAAGTACGACAACCATCTCTGACAAGGGTATGTGCAAAACATGCACCACAAGAACCTGTAGCGAAGCTGCTTGCGCTCGCATAAGATTGCGTGGAAACTGTATGTCAATATTCCCCAATTGTCATTCCTTGTCCGCTCACATTGGTTTTTGCTCTCGTAACGCAGCACTGTCATAAGATTACGACGGGATTTCCAGTATAAACACTCCGATTTGCCTCGGGTGGAGAAAATCGTTCCTTTGACGCTCATTCGATGGAGCTCTACATGACCGCCTACCGCCGGACAACTTTATCCTCGTCGGACAACACAATACGAAGATCTTTGCGTTTCCGACTGGCTCCCCCTGCCCAAAGGTTCTGGAGTATGTATTTCATGCCGTGTGGATTCGAGTCGGGTTGATATGAAGTTTCGGAAGGTTTGGGTTCGGAGGAGCGTATTACTTTAGATGTAACGCTGTCTCGTGCTTTGCGGTGGTCACAAGGGAAATGCAGCGTAACTGTAACTTACTAGGGCGATGCTAGCCTCCGTAGGGTAGTTTGGGGGAGAAGGAACGGGGGGGCCTCCTTGTGTACTGATTTATCCTTTGACACATGGATTCAGATCTACAGCAGTGCAAAAGGACTTGAATTCACGATAATCCGATACTCGAATCAGAGCTCATGGAAATTTCTTGATTCTACAAAGTGCGATGTCACCGAAAGGTCAAGGCCGTCTCGTCTAAGGCCGTCTAGTTCTTCCTGTATATCCGGGCTGATGACGAGTTGAGACGAAGTGTCCACAGTCACTGACTGGATTTGGGATACAGTCTTTTGTTCGGAGCCCACTTCTTTAGGTGGCGAAGTGCACTGCCGGAATCTATATACAAGGACATCTCGGAACAGGTCCATGTGTTCAGTGAGTGAAATGGGACCATGGTACGAGAAGTTTTGCAGATTCGGCAGAAGAATATTGTGAGGGCAATAGAGACGTTGGAATAGTGCTTCCGACAAGAAAAAGTTGCCGGCGTGTTTGGTGAGGCGAAGGCGTAAAGCTGTTATTGATGGTACAAGTTCCAGAACCTGGATCAAAATGATTTCAGAGGGTACTTCATAACTGAGAGCAAAATTTTCTAGAAGTTGTGAGGAACAGAATGCTTGCATGATTCGAAGCAGAATGGCCGCCGAGGATGCGAATGGACCATGGAGGGAGACTTCACGTAAGGAAGGAAGTTTGGCTGGCCCCAAAATCCAATTTGCACTCTCATCTAGGAAACTGAACCAGAGTTTAAGACATTCCAGATGTTCCAACACCACGGGGTGGAACAAATCTAGGTTCAGCGAATGGTCCATAATCACTGAGTTAATCTCTTTGAAGGTGCAGTGAATTATTTGAGGTGCATTGTGGAAAAATATGCGAATCTCATCTACGGTACAGCCCTCTGCGAGAAACTCCCGCAATTGGTGCCATGGGACTAGAACCTTAGACAGATAGGGATTGCTGAGATGGAGTACTGTGAGCTGTGGGGTCATTGATAGATTTAACTGAAGTTCTGGGTTGAAACTTGTTGGATGAAAACGAATAGTGGCAGTGGTGAGAAGGGGTAGGGGCTTTCCGGTGGTGGAAATGGCGTCAAAACAAGCTTTGATGTCGGGGAGCAGGAGTTCGATATCTTTCCATTGCGACGAGATGGACGCAAGTGTGGTCAAAACTTCTGTCGGCGAATGAAAGTCCCAATCGTCCGGCAACTCCTCATAGTCGAGACAAAAGGAAATGGGATGATTTGAAATCCTTGACAGCCAATCGTGGAGAAGATCAATTTGAGCTTCATATCTATCTTCCGATAGACAGAGGTGCAGAGTAGACCAAAGAATTGGAGTCGACCAAACGAAATCTCTCCAACTCCGACAAATTTTGCCGAGAAAAAAGGGATACATTCCTTCCCATTCCGAGTATATTCCCCGCCATTCCGTATTAACCAGTGAGCCTAGGGCATTGTAGAATATCTCCGTCTTTATCTCTGCTGGAAGTTGATCGATAGGGGATAAGCTGTTGATTTCTGAATATAACGGAAGACGCTTTTGTGCCATTTCCAGTTCTAAAGCGGCGACTTGTAGGAGTAAAACGTCCCTCCGAGTGTCTCTTTCGAACTGGGGACGACGTTCTACGAGCATACTACTCCCTGAATCTGTGCGTGTAACCATCCTGACTTGACTGTACCAGGTGTCGGAAAACAACCCAGCTTGTTTTTATTTTAGCTGGGTAAGAGGCTCTTATGACCTACTTACAAGAATACGCGATTGAAGGTCGATATCCTGAAGCGTGAAAATTGAAAAGTTGCTGCCACTGCCTTTGGGGATGATATGTTGATGATATGATGAAAAAATGATCGAAGGCGCTTTGTGCACCAACTGTCACCACCGGTCACCAACCGATAGCGTCAACGGAGCGCTTCACTGCCAAGCAGCCAACACTTTTAGGCATCCACCTCACCGCCCCAGCACCTCGAAGCCGGCCAACATGCTTTCAATGCTTTCAACTATCTGCGGAGGAACATTTCATCTTCCCTACCCTTGAAAATAGGACTATCTTGCCAATTCATCTTAGCTTCGACATCCGGAGACCCTTGGATACTGAAAGGATAATGTCGCACTCTAGGCTACAGATCATCTGGGGTTATGCTCCAAGCTTCAGAGCAGCCACCGCTACTGGGTTCCAGAAAACGGTGAGTACTACAACGAAGGCTTGCCGGCATCCCACTTTGATCCCTCTGATAATTTTCTCTCGTGTTGCAGCAGCAACGGGACTGTCGAAAAAATGGGATTATTATCGCCGACCATGGATGTGTGGGATATATATCCAGTATCGGGGCTGTTGCGCTCATGAGTCATTCGTGACGCGGTGTTGGCCTTTTGCGTAGAACCGTACGTTAGCACCCTTAAATTACACTCTCTGACCGCTAACGATGGCTCATGCTCTTGTAGACAACTATGGCAGTCGTAAGCCCCATATCTTACGACAAATTTTCCAAGAAGCACACTCCTTGCTTCAGAATTGAATTGTCCCGCTGAAGTTCATTCGACGGAGCTCTACATGACCACGTATTGTCGCAAATTTTATCCTCGTTGACCAATGCAACATAAGGATGGTCTCAAGCTTTTTCTATCAGTTTTTGTGGGCTTGGCGTGAACCCTAACCCTAAATTAAGTCCGTGTCAAGTGTTTCTCACCTCATATCGGAACTATCACTCCAACCAATGGCTCCCATCCGTGTGGCCATCCTCACAGGTTTGTTCTTTCCCGCATGCCACATACCCGTCGCTGATGCTTCGACAGTGAGCGACACCGCTTTCGCTGATGCCACCACCGATAGATCAGGTCCAATAATCCAAGACATTATCACATCTCACCATGGAGAAGTAGAATCCGACAAGCATTACCGAATTGTCCCAGATACTGTAGAAGCGATACAAATCATTGTTAAAGAGTGGGGCGATAGTGGCAATGTGGATTGGATAATCACCACTGGTGGGACTGGGTTCGGTGTTCGCGATGTTACGCCTGAGGTAGTTATTCACTCGATCTCTTTCTTCGACATACGATCCGCTGACACTGGGAGACAGGCCATTATTCCCCTTTTAGATCGCGCTGCCCCTGGTCTAGTTCACCTTCTCCTGGCTGTGTCCCTCCAACATACACCACTTGCAGCGCTCTCACGTCCGGTCGCAGGCATGATCAAAAGTACACTCATAACCACCCTTCCTGGGTCTGTAAAAGCTGTCAAAGAGAATATGGACGCGTTGATGAGAGGCGGGATCGTGCAGCATGCCGTAGAGCTGTTGAGAGGCGGAACGGGAGCAAGGGTACATGCGATCTTAGCTGGAGGAGAGCAAAGAAGTATGAGTCACAACGGCCATAGCCATGGGCATGATCATGGCACTCATGTGCATCATCATCACCATGATCATCATACACCTACACCGCGATCTGTGCAAGTGTTGTCTCACGATCCTAGTGCACCTGGTATGTTTTTCGATTTTGTTTAGAAGGTGCATACTTATGTGTCTATAGCGTCTGCAAGACACAGGAAATCTCCTTACCCATTGATCTGGTTTGAGGCTGCACTCGATCACCTCCATGCAAATATCGAAGTTCTCCCAGCTGAACCTCGCATTGTGGGTGAATTGGATTTCAAGTTTTGTGACATTAAAGCTAACGCCCTTTTATCAGGTCGACAACAACTTACGTGAATATATACTTGCAGAAGATGTACACGCACCACAAGACGTACCTCCTACTTCTACCACGAACGTAGATGGCTACGCTATCCGTTGTATGTTCATCACCTGTCTTCCCTTGAAATTACAACTCATTGCGTATCTATAACAGCAGCCGACTCTCCGGGAGTATACAAAGTCCTCACCCGCTTCCCCACCACACCCCTTTCAGAAGACACCATCTACCGAATCAACACGGGCAGCCCACTCCCCCCAGGCACAGACGCCGTCATCATGGTGGAGGACACGCAACTCGTGTCGACGGATGATGAGACAGAGGAAGAGACAGAAGTGGAGACTCTCGCTCGAATTCCTGCAGGAGAAAACGTTCGCCTTCCTGGCTCAGACGTCCGCAAGGGGGATGTCGTCATGCTGAAAGGAGACAGAATTACCGGGCGAGGCGGCGAAGTTGGGTCTCTTGTTTTTGTTGGTCGGGAAAAGGTCTGCTTTCTTTCTTTCGGTCCATCTAGGTTCTGCAGTATTGACAAGTGTCAACGTGTGGACAGGTCCGCGTGTATCGTAAACCAGTCGTAGCCATTCTAAGCACGGGCAACGAGCTCATGGACGTACAAATGCGCGAGGCGAGCTCGACAACACCTGTTGAAGGATGGGGTGGCATCTTCGACACTAATAGGCCGTCCTTGCGGGCCGTTTTGGAGAGTATGGGGTATGAAGTTGTGGATCTGGGAATTGTGCCAGATGAGTGAGGGCTTTGTGTCTCATAACTGTCTGAAATCGCAGAACTAATTTGATCTCCAGCGTAGAAGCCCACGTCAAAGCAATTCAACGAGGTCTCTCTGAAGCCGACATGATCTTGACAACAGGGGGAACTTCCATGGGCCCAACCGACCTCTTGAAACCCGTCATCGAGCGAAACTTTGGAGGGACTGTTCACTTTGGAAGGGTCGCCGTGAAACCCGGAAAACCCACTACCTTCGCTACGATCCCGTTCGAGGATGAAGGGGGAAGGCGTGGGAAGAAGCCCATTTTTGCGTTACCAGGGAACCCGGCGTCTGCGTTGGTGATGCTTTACGTGTTTGTTGTTCCCGCGTTGAGAAAAATGGGTGGGTGGACGGAAGAGATGTGTCAGTTGCCAAGGGTGAAAGTGCAGGTAATTGTTTTCCTCCCATTTAATTGTCATTTGCCGAAGTGATGTTGCCTGATTGTTAGATCCAACACCTGATGTTTCTCGACCCTCGAACAGAGTTTCACCGCGTTGTCATCCGCATTGGGAAAGATTCAGGCGTATTGAAAGCGTATAGCACGGGCGGACAGAGGTCGAGTCGGGTGGCGAGTTTGAGTGGGGCTAATGGGTTTGTGGTACTTCCGCCTTTGGGTCTTACGGGGGCGAAGGTTGCGAAGGTTGGGACGGTGTTGGATGCGATTGTGATTGGGGAGTTGGAGATGGAGTGAGAAGCGTTCAATATATTAGTTCAGACAGCCAGTAGCCCCAGGCTGAGCCCCCAGCGAATGATAGGAAATTTCTGCACTTTTGCATTGCCACACCACATCTTATCTTATCTTGTCACGTTGAAGCCTACGTCAAAACTTGGTCAAAACTTCAACAAGGTTACAAGGTGTCCATTCCGCTGAATGGGCCCTGCCAGATCCACTCGAGTTCACGCTGTGGTTGTCGCAAACTCACCCTTCAATTCATCCGCAAACTTTCCGTCTCTCAGCTTTGTTGACAGACTCGGATCTGCAGTTTATTCTTCCGCCAGTATCGAAATGCCGAGAATTTGTGGATCTGCATTCACAAGGGCGGGGAAGTCAGTTGTCTCCAACAAGCACAAGGCATTGGGGTGACAGCCTCAGGAACAACAGCCTCAGCCCGTTCAACTCCTTAACGTCCGTCCCATGGTTGCTTTCTGCTCATGACGACCAAGGTAACTACTGTCACCTGTCTTCTTGCGCCTTCTACTCACCTCCCTATCCCCTTGGTCGTCGTCTTGGACGCACCTTCACGCAGATTCTACTCGTTGTTCTTGCATTATAATGATAATTTCATGTTCCGAATAAAAGCACCCTTCGCAAGATGATACTTCACGAACCAAGCCCACCAAAGCACCCACAAGTTCTCGAGTCACCACACCCCTCATATCTCATTCGCCCTTCAACTGAATGTCACGTAACGGATCAACATGGTCAGGCACTTTGCCCACTCTGAGGAAGATTTTTCGGATCCCCAAACCCCTGCATCCATCGTTTGGCAGATTCAAACGTTTTGTGAGACGGAGGGAGCGACGTCCCGCTCAATCGCCTCCCCCCCTTGCCACGCCTGAGGGGAATCTAAATTTGAGTCGTCCCCCGTCGTCAGTCTTCTCAGGACGCGCGGTCACGAATTATGGGGGACCAAGCACGTCTCAAGCAAGTCCTTCGGCACATTCCTTCCTACCGAATTTACAACCTCTCGATGCCCTTGGGCCTCAGCTTACGGACTATTCCGAAGAGAGTGTTGTTCCCCAACCGAGTTGTCCCCGAATGTATTGCGTGTCGCTACCCTCTGCGTCGCCCTCCCCTGAACTACCTTCAATCCCTTCCATTTATACTGGTGAATCAGCTCATGGAGAATACTATTATGGAACGATATACAATTCCCCCTTAGCGGCAAACGATGATGAACCAACTAATGAACAATATCAAGACATGACGCGTCAATCCTCGGCTAGCTCATATCACACCCGACGTGAAAGCCTTTCACCACAACGAGAACATCAACCAGAAATGGTTCCAGAAACCCTTGGTATGTAACTTTTATTATTGGCCCATGCTGAGAGCTGACGTTGTCCGTTAGTCTCATCTATCGCTCAAACAATCATCAGTGATTACTTCAAACCAAGCAAACTTGTCATAGATCGAAAGATATCCCTGATAGACATGCAATCCGTTCTCTATGCGCTCCGGAACTGTCTTCAAGACCTCACTATCGGTCCAATTGGTGTCGGACAACTTACCTCGCCTTCCGCAACGGCAGCGATCGATCTACGTCATCTATCATCTTTGAAAGTGAATCAGGTTGACTTTTCCTGCCTGAAAGAACTCCTCGCTTCTGTGAGGATGGACAGCCTCACAACCTTAGACCTCCTTGTCGGATCGCTGGAAGTCGTGCCTCATGAGCTGAATCTTGGATGGAGTCGACTCACGGACGTTATCCTCCATGATAACTTTTACCCTGAAGTTCTCGATGACGTGATGGGTTCTCTCCGCGACGTCACCCGACTGAAATGGTCGGGCGAGTTGGCTGTAGCAAATCATAAGAAGTACTCTTATGATCTCAAATCTTTGCAAGACCTTTCAGTTTGCTCAAATGAGGATGGATGCACTTTCTTCCTCAAAAATATTCGCTCAATGATCCCTCAAACACTCCATCTTTCCCATTTTTCACCTTTCATCCGTGGTCGTGGATCACATGGCCTTTTGGGTGTCAGAAACCTCTCCATCGAACATAAGATTGATGCAGACCAGTTCTTGTCTGTGTTACACCACTTTCCTGCCCTTTCAACTGCGGATTTCGGAATCAGCGGTACCACGATGACGGAAAAATCTGGGTGGTTAGCAATGCAACAACAATTTGCTGGACTCGAGTCACTCACTTTGCGGAGTGTTTCCTCCCCAATTCGGCCATTGTTAATGCCTATATCGCTCTCTAAGCTAAAGTCTCTTGTGATAATATTTGACTTCAAGAGTGAAGTGAAGCACCAATTCTGCTCCGGGCTTGCAGATTGTTTGAAAAAAGAAGAAAAATTATCACTGGAGTCCATTTGTCTCGTCGATGCTCACATAACACAAAGAGAGTTACGGTCGGTTTTGGAAATTGCTAGTCCGACTCTGCTCGATTATCAAATTCGACAGACTCGGACCCGTCTCGAGTCTTGACAACCAACTTTAGTCTGACCCAAGAGGCTTGGCACTTTTAGTCTTTTACGCTTCACATTAAGTACACCAACATTACACAGGCTTGGGCCACATGTTAGTAATATTTCAATGAATTCAACTGAACTAATGTACTTACTAAGTGACATCTACTCATCTACCAAGTCGAATCATCCCCGCCCTTCCGTTCGCTTCAGAGTGTTTTGAATTGGCAAGTTGGGAAAGGCTGATTAGTATCGGCGAGGTCTCGAAGTGACCAAACTCAGAATATCCCACGGCCCAAAGAAATGAAGCGCTTACCTACAACTGCGTCCAACTTGCATCCGACAGTCCGACTCCAAGCTTCATGGAAGTACTCTCCAAGTCAAACTTTAGCAAAGAGGAGGGGTTTTGATCGGAAGATTTCGAAATTTCATTATTGTAAAATGTGTTGCCTGACTTCTTGCCGACTGAAAGCGGCCGTTTCCCTATCGACCGACAGACAATAGGGTGAGGCTTTTTACCCTCTCAAACCGCAACACAATTGACCTTCGACGTATTTAAGTCCCAGTGTTTACTGGAGTATGGCCCCACTGGCATCGCAAGTGAAAGTTCATGCCTTACCATAACCCGACATCGTTGCCGCAATTTCAGGGGGGTATAAGTTATATTCGCTGGGCAGCAACTCCGTAAGCTTTGCGTGGCTACTCGTATCGACCAGTATCGACTAACTTCTATCTAGACTTTATCCTCGTGAACTGGACAAATCCGCCATTTTGAATTTGCCGTCCGATACTGGGGGATCTTATGCAGCCATTTCTATCAACCATCTTCCCTTAGAAATTCTCGCGGAAATTTTCCTTATTTGTTCAAAGAGGTCAGAATGCCGGTTTCATTTCGACCGCCCTGTCGATGCGAGGCGTTGGCGAGCACCATTGTTGCTTTGTCAGGTTTGTCGTCATTGGAGAGAGGTTGCTATATCTCTACCACTACTCTGGTGCTCATTGTCAGGCACGGGAGATTTCACCCCACTTCCTGCGTTTATCGCACTCTGGCTTGCCCGTTCTCGTGGTCTTCCACTTTCGTTGACCCTCGCGGCACCTTCGGGTTATAACGACAAACCAAAATATCATGCCCACGCATCCAAAATGTTCGATTTATTCTCGAATGAGATGCATCGATGGCGCACGATTGCATTCACTTTGAACGATAATCTCGCACGCCAATTTATCGCCACGGCTGATTCCAAGGCGCAAATTTTAGAGGAACTTGAATTGGTCTTTGAAGGACCTAGCAGTACAAGTGCTGAGGTCTCCGCTCTACTTCCATCCTTGCCTAAGCTTCGCCACCTATCATGGTACGGAAACCTGTCGGCAATGTCTTTGCAAAACATACCATTCTATCGGCTAACGCACATCTACATCACGTCACGTAACTCCGTGCAGGACGTAATAACCTGCCTTTCGCAATGCGCAATGGCGTTGAAAATACGCTGGCACTTTGTTAAATGTGGGCATTCGTCGGATGTTTTCGGACTACCGCAAACAACACTTTTTCATCTACAATCGCTTGATCTGGAAGGAACTGGGAATCTCGCCCATATCCTATCAAAGCTTACTCTGCCATCCCTGAAATATCTGTGCATGGCAACAGGTTCCGAGACGCAGTACCACGGGCTGCTCGAGGATTTTTTCAATAGGTCCTCCTGCCCTCTGCAAAAATTCATCCTTGTGGACGATTGTATCGACCAGGAAAGCGTTATCAAGTATTTGTCTATTCCTTTTCTGGAAACCATCCCGGATATAGAGGTTTACTTAGGGGGAGGATGGCAGAATGATGTCCTTCAGAAAATGCAGGAGGTTAAGGATTCCCAAGATACGCCTACGTTTCGCCGACTTCAGATTAGCTACCCCACCTGCAACCCAGCATTCACCTGGAAGTGAGTGACCGTGGATTGGATTCCAGGGATTGACTCGTCTGTGTATCGTTTTCTTATGCAGATCTACCTAACTGCTCCGCACATTCATAACATAAGTAATGCTGGTTCTAATTTAGATGTGAAATTGCTTCACAGGTCTCAAGTAGACTTTTTGAACTTCTTCGATCTTCAAACCCCATAACATGCCGAGTCTGAGTCGTCCGAGATTTCAATGAAGAGCTTCTCAACATTCTAGGTATCGCTGACGTGTCGCTTTGGTTCTGGAGCATATGGTGACCACGATCAAGTAGACCGCCTTGATGGAATCTCCAGGCGAATTACCGCCAATGGCATGGCGGGAAGACAATCGTTCTGCGAATATAAATAAGTGGCGGAATGGTGAGGAAAGATAGCAAGGACGTACCTTGAAATCATAGTTGTATAGGACGCGATCCTTACGTAAGCTACGCGTTCGGCCAGCCAAAGTGTGTTCCATTTTCCCAATGTTCTTCCATGCGTACCATAAAACTGTTGCGAGAGGTTCAGCCATAAAACTCCACGAGTGATGGTAGATTGTCATCGCCTGTCCTCGAGTCGGTTCAGGTCAGGTAACATCGTTTGGCCTTCGGAAGCCGTGGAATTGCATGACGACTGATTTCTCATTGTCTCCGTCGTCGTAGGAGCTGTAGACAACCCCCCGCCGGAAAGTCAGTGGAAAGAACTACCAGAAAAGTCGGAGAACCCTCGTCAATCAACGTAATCCTGGAATGAGAGGTACTTTCAGAGTGGATATTCTTGATGGACCCGATATCCTTCGGCCGGAGAAACGACGGTCCCGACCCCTGTTGCATTGCAAGTAAAAGGGAAAAAGATTCGAGTGCGGAGGTAGATTGACCTTCAATATCTTGACCAACTTGCGTGACTCCACAAGGATCGCTGGGAGGTTCAACAAAAGGATCCCATAATTTTTGATCTAAATATTGGTGGAAGGAGACCTATCCGAACAAGGCGAGAAATGCTCTGGACGACGATGGTAAGAACCCCAGGGAGAAGAACGAGGAGATTTCGTGAGCTTACTTCGTCGTCGGAGAGAAACATCCCTGGTTGGTATTGAGAAACTTCACCTGTCACGACGTGGCGAAGACCATTCTCGCGGGGTGGGGTATGCTTTGGAAGGCGTCGGCGCCTTGTTTATTGGTGGACTCGAGCCTGTAGAAGTCAGATATAAAGTGGCATTCGGATATGGCTGGGGGATCGGATTCACTCAACGTGGTGTGGTGCTGTAAACGAACTTGAATTTGGCGACCGTACTATCAAATAGTAAGGACTTGTGAGGATGAGGCTATTGGGGCCCGTGGAACAATGTTTATCGGTCGGATAGAATATGATCGTGCGCATGGATGTTGGTGTTGTGCATCGGATTTCCACCCCTCCTCAGCTCAACAACCCTATTCCCCATCAACCCAACATCTATATTTCCACTTTCCCTCCCATGTATCCGTGGCATCTCATGAACTCGCGCTCCGACGTTGTTCGTGCTTTTTCCGAAGAGGGAAGTTGAGAGCTCGAGAGGCCGGTGCATGCGCTGTCGTTCACTTTGAGAAGACCCTACGTGCTCCGGCAGCAAGATGACAATTGATGCATAATGCATAAGCGCTCATAAGCGCCAATGCCTCGTGGATGAATCAAGGCATCTCCGATAACTCTTTCCTTCAATCATCCATCTTGATATTTTAACAGGTTCTGGTTGGAAACAGCGATGTCTACCCTGCCTGGTCGTGATCATGTATCAAGTTCCGCTCCCCCTTTAGATGGCAAAGGGGGTACAGATTCAGGAAAGTTAACGAAAAGGACGGGACCTAGCTATGGTGCGCCATATCTCGAAAACTCTACTCCTGGCTTCAATGGCCTAATTTACTCATGCAGTGTATTACCGTCTATACACCAAACTCGGTGCGTTTGAATCAAATCACGCCGTCTACTCAAACGACCGTTTCATTGGCCGCGTTCCGTCAAAATCAATTGCCCCTCCTCGCACGGTGGCGTCTATCAAGCGTTCCCTGTGCAAACTTGAGGACCTTTCGGAGCCTGACAAGGCGCTTCTCTTCACACCGCTCTCAAGCCCAGCACACAAAGAAGACTCTGCCCGCCTCTCTTTGTCCGCTCTTTCTGAGCCAGGCCTGTCCGAACACGATCCGATCGCGTTAGTTGTTGAGTCGGAGAAGAGGACCGAGGAGGTAACACAGTCAGAGAAGCTGCCGGAATGCTCTGATGATACTCATACCCATTACGGCAAGTCCTGTCGATGTCTCCTACTCAAACAGCGCACTCATCAGCTTTGCAGTATATTATCGCGTTTACTTAACAGAAGGAAAAGGAGATGAAAAGGCAAAGTCGTTCTTCGACGAAAGCGATATTTCATTAGGACGCATCAACACCCTCTTCATCGCGCCTCCTCACACCGCTGGGTCTCTGAAAGTATGCATCGCTAAAGTTGAAGGCCTCGTCACGCCGGGTCATGCACTTTACAAGGACATGGAACTCTTCCAAGACATAGATAGTGACACTGCCATGAGCGACACCGATGTCATATCCTTCCAAGATGACACTTATCCGGGTAGTGATGAAGGTGATCCCGTAGCCCTTGTCAATGCAACCACCGACACAGAAGCGAAACAAAAGGCTAAACCTATACCAGGTAAAGTTCTCAGTGATATCCACAAGACACGGCGGCAATAAACCGTGCTCTTTCAGATGGACCAGATTCAAATTTCACAAAACGCGCTCGGGTGACTTTTTCATGTAGTGAGTAACAGTTCCTGGAATAATCCGATTTTCATCCTATAGTATCCTCCCGCAGGCTACGAAGGATGCCAACCCACCTGGCTACCAATAAACAAAGATGAGATCGTTTACACGGATGGAGTTGTCGTCTCCGTGAGGTACCCCATTAACAACTGTATTTCTTTCCTTTTCCACTTTTTCACCAGATTGTTGACACTTCTTTGGGACAGTGTTTAATCCAGGATACATGGTGATCAATTCCAAGGGTGAAAAAGGCTGTGAGTCTCCAATTTGCCTTTGGGTTATGAGGTGGTTGTTGATTTTCTTTGGCAGTTGTCGTACAGGGTGAGTGGTCTCCTTCCTCCGTCGGAGTATTTGATATTAACCGTTTGCCAGCTTTTCTTTCATTCATTTAATTGGTGAACGTCGGAGAGAATCCATGCTTTCGGATTGGAATCTGTCAGAACTTAGGCTCAGAAGGGGTTGATGTACCGGTATTGCAGATTTGTTGATATGTAATACAAGAAACGAGGACTCACTGATCATCAAAAACGAAGCAGGCATCGCAACTTGCAACTCCCGACTGAAGCTTTTGAAGGTTCAGTCCTGCTCAGAGATTCAGGCGAACCAATACATAAAGTATACGTAACTATATCAGAGATACATATGAACAAAAACCCAATAGGCATAGGACCCTCGTCATTCAATGTCAACCGAAGATGGTAGGTACATTGGAAGTGGATACTAGTATTCTTGACGCCGTCGATATTAGTAGGCGATTGACCCCCGGTCGGAGAAACGACAATCCCGATGCCCTGTTGCATTGTTAGCGAAGGCGGAGAGGATTTGAGGACGGAAGTTGATTGACCTTCAACATGTCATCATGTCTTAACAAACTTGCGTAACCTCACAAGGATCGCTGGGAAATTCAACATGAGGATCCCATCATTTTTTATCTAGATATTGGTGGAAGGAGACCATGATCCGAACAAGGTGGGAAATGCTCTGGACGACGATGGTAAGAACCCCAGGGAGACGAATGAGAGATGTCGTGAGCTTACGTCGTCATTGAGGAGAAACAACCCCTCCAGCCGATTTGGGTGAAGGCTAGTACCGGCCAACGCCGATAAAGCATCTCCTTTACGTCCTCCCAGTAGGCTGTTTGAACTTCCGCAAGTAAACCTGAAAACTGAATCTCCTGGAGTATTGTGCGAAGGGGGAACCCATTTCCGAAGCCGCTTTTGAGTGTCAGGGTCTTCAAGTTTATCCCAGACTTCGTCTGAAATGGTGGTAATAAGGTTACGACGATGAATGGCAAGACTTTTGTAGGCATGAAACACACCTAATCTGCACGTTCAAGAAGGTAATAAAAGTGCTCGTCGAACGGCCGGTCTTTGCCCTTCTCCGACGATCCATTGACAAATGATGAGCCAAACATCGGGCAGGAGAGTATTGAGTTCAGTGGCCTCTTCTCATAGAGCCACTACCTGACTTGAGGCTCCGCGAACTTTGTGAAGTAACGCCATCCTAGCACAACAAGAAGACCTGGGTGTCGAACGCCGAGATCGTAGTATAGGCCGTCCCATCCTGCGACATGCTGAATTCTCGGAGTACTTAAGTAGAGATGGCGAGCTTTCAACAGAGTCTCATCCAATGCCTAAATATTCGTCAGAGGTGAGACGCAGAGCATGATGTAAGATACGCACATGGGTGTTAAGATCGAAGAAAATTTCATTGCACTGAGGGAATGGATAAGGAGGAATTCGGGCGAAGCCATATGGGGGAGGCGTATAGTTGGTTGGTATTGAGAAACTTCGCCTGTCATGACGTGGCGAAGACCATTCTCGCCGTGGGGTATGTTTTGGAAAGCGGCGACAGGCGGCGGCTTGTTTATTGGTAGCCTCGAGGCAAGTCGAGGCAGCAGTCCAATAGCAGTCGAATACAAAGTGGAGACTTGAGATAGCGGCGCACCGCGCTGTAAACGAATTCGGCGACGGTATGATCAGATATTAAGTACTTGCGAGAATGAGGCTAAGTATTGGGGCCTGTGTAACGATCTTTGTTGGTCGGATAAAAAATGATCGTGCGTAAGGAATCAGGATCATGTTGTTCAAGTTGTTGTGTATCGGACTTCCACCCTCCTCAATAACGACTCTTGTACCTCATGAATCTATATTTCCACTTGCCCTCCGATATATTCGTGTCGTACTTTTTTGAAGTTGAGAGGTAGAGAGGCCAGTGCATGAAGGGAAGGCGGATTCGTTACTCGTTCAACTCAGGAACACCCTACGTGCTCTGGCATAATGCATAAGCACTAGCGCCAATGCCTCGTGGATGGATGAAGGCATCTCCGATAACTCTTTCCTTCAATCATCCATCTTGCTAATATTTTAATAGGTTCTAATTGGAAACAACGATGTCTACCCTGCCTGGTCGTGACCATGTATCCAGCTCCGCTCCCCCTTTAGATGGCAAAGGGGGTACAGATTCAGCAAAGTCAACGAAAAGGACGGGTCCTAGCTATGGTGCGCCCTATCCCGAGAACTCTACTCCTGGCTTCAATGGTCTAAGTTACTCATGCAGTATATTACCGCCTATACACCAAACTCGGCGCATTTGAATCAAATCACGCCCTCTACTCAAACGACCGTTTCATTGGCAGTGTTCCTTCAAAATCGATTGCCCCTCCTCGCACGGTGGCGTCTATAAAGCGTTGCCTATGCAAACTTGAGGACCTCTCGGAGCCCGATAAGGCGCTTCTCTTCACTTCGCTCTCAAGCCCAGCACCCAAAGAAGACTCTGCCCGCCTCTCTTTGTCTGCTCTTTCTGAGCAAGGCCTGTCTGAACATGATCCGATCGCGTTGGTTGTCAAGTCGGAGAAGAGGACAGAGAAGGTGTCGCAATCGGAAAAGCTGCCGGAACGCTCTGATGATACTCATACCCATTACGGCAAGTCTTGTCGATGTCTCCTACTCAAACAGCGCACTCATCAGCTTTGCAGTATATTATCGCGTTTACTTGACAGAGGGAAAAGGAGATGAAAATACAAAGACGTCCTTCGACGAAAGCGATATTTCATTAGGACGCATCAACACGCTCTTCGTCACGCCCCCTCACACCGCTGGGTCTTTGAAAGCATGCATCGCTAAAGTTGAAGGCCTCGTCACGCCGGGTCATACACTTTACAAGAACATGGAACTCTTCCAAGACATAGATAGCGTCATTGCCATGAGTGACACCGATGTCATATCCTTCCAAAGTGACGCTTATCCCGGTAGCGATGAAGGCGATCCCGTAACCCTTGTCAATGCGGCCGTCGATACAGCAGCGGACCAAAAGGCTAAACCTACATCAGGTAAAGTTCTTAGTTAAAATCCACCACATGCCGCAGCAATAAACCGCGCCCTTTCAGATGGGCCAGATTCAAAATTCACAAAACGCGCTCGGTTAACTCTTACTTACGGTGAGTGACACTTCCTGAGATAATCTGATTCTAATACTGTAGTATCCCACTCCAGACCAAAAAGCATACAATCACACCTGGCTATCAACTAACAAAGATGAGATTGTTTACACAGATGGAGTTATCGTTTCCATGTGGGGCTCCGTTATGAAGAGTATTCCTTTCCTTTTCTCCTTTGTCACCAGATTGTTGACTCTCTATCGGAACAGAATTTTATTCAGGATACATGGTGATCAATGCCAAGGGTGAAAAAGGCTGTGAGTATCCAGTTTGCCTTTGGGTTACTGAGTGATTATTGATTTTCTTCGGCAGTTGTTGCACAGAGTGAGCCTTGATCTCTGTCCTCCGTTGGAGTATTTAATTTCCACCGTTTGCCAGGTTCCATTGAACTTATGTGATTGGTGAACTTCGGAGAGATTGAATGCTTTCAGAATGGGATCTGTCAGAACGAAGGCTCAGAAGAGGTTGATGTACCGGTTTTGTAGATTTGTTAATATGAACACAGTAATGTAAGAAACGTGATCATGAAAATCGAAGCAGGCATCGCAACTTGCACTGACAGTCAGACTCACATGAACTCGCACTCCGACGCTCTTCGTACTTTTCCAGACACTGGAGAGCCCAATTCATGCACTGAATGGGAGGAAGGCGAAGCTACTCATTCAGAGAACACCCTACGCGGTTGATGCATAACTTAATCGCCAGTGCCACGAGGTGCATGATGATGGATGTCGATGAAGCTTTGAAGGCGTGTCCGATAATTCTCTTTCAATCGTCCATCTTGCTGATAATTCAACAGGTTCTGGTTGGAAACAGCTATGTCTACCCCGCCTGGTCGTGATCATATATCCAGTACCGCTCTTTCTTCAGACGGCAAAGGGGATACAGATTCAGCAAAAAAAGTAGAGAAGTCAACAAAAAGGACGGGTCCTGGCTATGGTGCGCTCTATCCCGAAAACTCTACTACTTCGAGTCGCTTCAACGGTTCTAATTGACTGATGCAGTATATTACCGTCTATACACCAAACTCGGTGCATTCGAATCAAATTACCCCCTCTACCACAACGACCGTTTCATTGGCCGCATTCCGTCGAAAGCTTTTGCCCCTCCTCATACCGTGGCGTCTATCAAGCGGGCCCTGTGCAAACTTGAGGACCTTTCGGAGCCTGACAAGGCCCTTGTCTTCACATCACTCTCAAGTCCAGCACCCAAAGAAAACTCTGCCCGCCTCTCTTTGTACGCTCTATCTGGGCCAGGCATGTCCGAACAAGATCCAATCGCGTTGGTTGTCGAGTCGGAGAAGAGGACACTGGCAGAGGAGGTGTCGCAATCGGAGAAGCTGCCGGAATGCTCTGATGATACCGATATCCAGTACGGCAAGTCTTGTCGTCGTCTCCTACCCAGACAGTGCATCATCGGCTTTGCAGTATACTATCGCGTTTATTTATCAGAGGGAAAAAGAGATGAAAAGGCGAAGACGTCCTTTGACGAAAGTGATATTTCGTTGGGACGCATCAACTCCCTCTGTATTGCTCCCCCTCACACCGCTGGGTCTTTGAAAGCATGCATGGCAAAAGTTGAAGGTCTCATCACGCCGAATCATGCACTTTACAAGGACATGGAACTCTTCAAGGACATGAATAGTGACGCTGCCATGAGCGACACCAATATTATATCCTTCCAAGATGACACTTATCCAGGTAGCGATGAAGGCGATCCCGTAGCCCTTGTCAACGCAACTGCCAATACGGCAGTGGACCAAAAGGCTAAACCTATACCAGGTAAAGTTCTCAGTGAATATCCACTAGACACTGCAGCAACAAACGGTGCTCTTTCAGATGGACCAGATTCAAAATTCACGAAACGCGGTCGGCTAATTTATACTTACGGTGAGTAACAGTTCCTAAGAACATCCGATTCTCATCCTATAGTGTCCCACCGCAGACTACAAAGCACGCGATCCCGCCTGGTTACCATTAAACAAAGACGAGATTGTTTACACAGATGGAGCTATCACCTGCATGGAGTACTCCCCTACTAGCCGTATTTCTTTCCTTTTCTGCTTTGTCACCAGTTTGTTGACATTTCGTCGTGACAGGGTCTTATCCAGGATACATGGCGATCAATTCCAAGGGTGAAAAAGGCTGTGCGTCTCCAATTTGCTTTTGGGTTCTAGGTGGTTGTTGATTTTCTTCGGTAGTTGTAGCAGAGGGTGAGTGGTCTCCTTCCTCCGTCGGGGTATTTGATATTCACTGTTTGCCAGGTTTATTGAATTTATTTGATTGATGAACTTCGGAGAGAATGTTTGCTTTCGGAGTGGGATCTGTAAGAACGCAGGCTCAGAAGGGGTTGATGTTCCGGTATCGTAGATCTGTTAATATGTAACACAACTTATTGATCATGAAAAACGAATCTCGCAACCTGCAACTCCCGACTGCTGAAGCTTTCAGTCCTGCTCAGAGATTCAGGTGAATTAATAGATAAGGCGTCAGCGCAAGTCAAAAAGAGATCGTGAAAAATCGTAGAGATCATGAAAGTCATAAACCTGGAACCAAATACAAAAAGTATATCCACCGACACTAACTGCTCCTCCTCGCCAACCAACCCCAGTCAACCTCCTCACAAGCACCTTCAAAACAGCAGCGCACACGCCAATGCCAACAAGGACAACGTAACTCCCGTCCACTTGTTGAGAGGTATAGATCGCGTTAGGCTTCCCAGTCGCGTCAGGGTCTTCGTTGAGGGGAAACAGGAAAAAAGAGTGTCAAATACGGTGATTTAGCTTGGTCATCGAAAAAGTCCGAGCTAGAGCTAAGGTCAATTTGAGTATCAGTATGAACACAATTGATCAAGAAACTGGGTGAGATTCGGAATACCCCATATACCTCCAAGGCAAGGCCTTTCGTTTCCGGGAGCGTAATGGTACAACAGAATATTGAGGGGGAGCACGCCCACGGGAAGAGTTTGGGAGAACTTGGATTAGAGGAGGAGGGAGGTGCAAGAGCAAAAGTGGAATGAAGACATCTTGTCATTCAACACACGAAAGACGACAGACAGAATACGCAAAATGGGCCATGAATTCGAACCAAGTGCCGTTGAGACTACCAAGTTGAGCAGAACATTTTTCCATTTCGTCCTCGAGCTCCCTAAGCCTCTCATCCATTCCCTCAGTCCTCTCCTGTCTAGTCGCCATCCGAACTCACGTTGGTCTAGGGCTTCTTGGCGAGTTGTGAGTGTTGCGCGGGGCGGTGAGGTCGTGTTCTGTAGAGTTTGAGACAATGCCCAAGGTGGGTCAAGTTTGTGGGTGCATGATGATGGATGTCGATGAAGCGTTGAAGGCGTGTCCGATAATTCTCCTTCAATCGTCCTCGTCCACTTTGCTAATATTTCAACAGGTTCCGTTGGAAATAGCCATGTCTACCCTGCCTGGTCGTGATCATATATCCAGTTCCGCTCCCTCTTTAGACGGCAAAGGGGGTGCAGATTCAGCAGGAAAAGTAGGGAAGTCAACAAAAAGGACGGGTCTTGGCTGTGGTGCGTCCTATCTCGAAAACTCTACTGCTGGCTTCAACGGCCTAATGTACTCACGCAGTATATTATCGTCTATACACCGAACTCGGTGCATTTGAATCGAATTACGCCCTCTACTCCGACGACCGTTTCATTGGCCGCATTCCTTCGAAATCTTTTGCTCCTCCTCATACGGTGGCATCTATCAAGTGGTCCCTGTGCAGACTCGAGGGCCTTTCGGAGCCCGACAAGGCGCTTGTCTACATACCGCTCTCAAGCCCAGCACCCAAAGAAGACTCAGCCCGCCTCTCTTTGTACGCTCCATCTGGGCCGGGCCTGTCCGAACAAGATCCGATAGCGTTGGTTGTCGAGTCGGAGCGAAGGACCAAGGAGGTCTCGCAGTCGGAGAAGCTGCCAGAACGCTCTGATGGCACCGATATCCACTACGGCAAGTCTTGTCAAAGTCTCCAAATCGTGCACTCATCAGTGTTGCAGTATACTATCGTGTTTACTCATCTGAAGGAGGAGACGAAAAGGCAAAGACGTCCTTTGACGAAAGTGATACTTCGTTAGGATGCATTAACACCCTCCTCATCGCACCCCCTCACACCGCTGGATCTTTGAAAGCGTGTATCGCAAAAGTTGAAGGCCTGGTCACGCCGGGTCATGTACTCTACAAGGACATGGAACTCTTCCAAGCCATAGATAGTGACGCTGCCATGAGCGACTCAGATGTCATATCCTTCCAAGATGATGCTTATCCAGGTAGCGATGAAGGCGATCCCGTAGCCCTTGTCAATGCAATTGCCAATGCAGCAGCAGACCAAAGGGTCAAACTCAAACCAGGTAAAGTTCTTGAAGAATATCCACTTGACGCTGCGGCAACAAATCGTACTCTTTCAGATGTACCAGAATCAAGTTTCACAAAACGCGCTCGGTTAACTTGTACTTTTAGTGAGTAGAAGTTGCTGAGATCATCCGATTCTTATCCTATAGTATCCCACCGCAGACCAGACAACTCACGATCCCAACTGGTTATCATTAAACAGCAATGAGATCGTTTACACGAATGGAGTTATCATGTCTATGAAGTACTCCCTTGACAAGTGTATGATTTCTTTCCTTTTGTGCTTTGCCACCAGTTTGTTGACACTTTCTTGTGACAGTACTTCATCCAGGATACATGGTGATTAATTCCAAGGGTGAAATGGGCTGTGAGTCTACAATCTGCCTCTGGGTTACTACGTGATTATTGATTTTCTCCAATCTGCGTTTGGGTTACTGGGTGGTTGTTGATTTTCTTTGGTAGTTGTTCATAAGGGTGAGTGGTCTCCTCCCTCTGTCGGAGTATTTGATATCCACTCTTTGCTAGATTATGTTGCTTTTGAATTGTGAACATCAGAGAGAACGTATGCGAAATTTGTCAGAACTTGGGCTCAGAAGGGATTGATGTACCGGTATCGTAGATCTGTTTTGTCAGTATGTACTACAAGGAATGATGTGTATCCATGCATAATACAAGTAACTATATCAGAAATATGTACGAACAAGAATCCGGGACTCTCGCGTACGCGCGTTTATTCAATTCCTCGGCAGTCCCAGTCAAAAAGCGATCGTGAAAAGTCGTAAAAGTAGATCCTCTTGGGAGGGAAGATAAAAGTGGAGCCGCATGATGGCGGTATCCAAGGCTCAAGCTCGTAGTGTCCTGCTGTATTCATTGAAGCGGAGCGAATAGCGACCCAGTAGAAGTGAAAGTCCGAGCATGATGTAAGATACTGTACTAATACGACCATGCCTTCGCATCACGCATCACAGAGGTCTCTGAAGGAAGTGAAGTGAGCGTGATGTCACACATCACACTGGCTTTTGAAGCCATTCCTGGCATTTTAAAATATCCATTTTTTCTAATTTTTCTGGTGCCTGCGGCGCCCTAGCCATGTAAACAGCACTCGGCATATTTCATCTACTTCTAACAAGAATTGTCCCACCATCTAAGATTTTTCTGCATGTACAACATTGTTTTAAATTTCAAATCGACGATGGCCCCTGTTCGGACGAAGAGCTCATACTCTTCGTCACACATCACATCGGATATTGAAGTCATGAAGAGATGGTCAAAACGTGTCACGCCCCAAAGGGCCAGAAGAGATGGTCGTATTAGTACAGTACGAGCATTTGTGGTATGGCTTTGTCAGCGAAGAGAATTTCGTTGCAAAGCAATGAATAATAGAAATTTTGGATGAAGCTACTCCCCGTCCACAAATCTGGTTTCCTGGTCCTTCTTTTTCTTCTCGTTTGGTTTCTGAAAAATTCTTCAGCTTTCCCGTTCCCTCATATAACTTCGTTGGGCTTTGCCGTATTCAATGTTTTTTTCCTCTCCTTTGTCGTCGTCGAAGCTCTGAGTGGTCGAGCATTTATCTACAGTTTATTGCCATTACAGTCGCGAGATAGTCGGTACTAGTGCTTTGATCGAAGCCTGCCCCAGCAAATAAGCCATTATCGCTCGTCGTTCGGAGAATGTAAGATGATGGAGCCTGACGTGAATGTTCCGACTCGATGAGGTGTTTTGAATTCCGTATAGACCGAATTCTGAATGTAGCACGCGCTGGAACCACAATCCGCCCATCCCACTCTTTGTTGCGGCGACGGCTTGAGCACCTAGCGAGCTGTGAATACAGGTGAAAAGGTATATACTAGAGCATATGTGGCGCAAATCAGTGAGCGCTTGAGTAGTCTGAACCTGTCTTGGCAGGAAAGAAGGGGCAGATTGGGAGGGTAGATTCAGATAGAGGTTCGGCTCGTTGTTCCAGGCATCGAAGGAGCAAGGCTTTGCGACAAAGAGGAAACGCTCTGGAGAGGCAGCTGGAGCTATCGGTTCATATTCTCGAAGGAGTTCGACGACGTTGCTGGAAGCCACAATTTCCAGGTAGCGTGCAGGTGCCAGGCTCCTTGCATGTTATCGGATTTGCGTTGCTTGTGAAAAAGCGGGAGGTTAGGATCGTAGTCGCAATACTAAGGAAATATATCACTGAAAAATGCGATATATGGAACAAACTGTATTCATAACTTGATGTCCGCCTCAGGCTTACTCGGGTTTGTGTGAGAGAAGAACCTGCCGCATCCAGCACACCGCTTGCCCCCGCTTGTTCATGCGGCGGGGTGCGGCTCACCGATTAGCCTGATTAGAAGTCACCGCGCTACAACAGATACGAGAAGCTAGATGCAAAGGGGGGAGGTGGGCGAGGGTAATTAGTTTTCCTCCAGGGTTAATATAACGATAAACCTACATTTGTGTGGCTTGCGGATGGAGAAACGATGTCTGCAGGATAATGTTGGCGTTACTGTGCGTAATCGTCGATTCGAAAGGCATCCTTGCGCAACTCAACGAATTGGCAAAGTCTCAAGAGTCCAGCTTCGCGTCTGATATGACGGCATGTCTCTCAAGCAGCATAGGTTCAGAGTTTTTCTTGTGCCCTAGATTCAACACCCACTGCAGACATATTGGAGTTGCGCTGAGTCCCATGGCCGATTCGCCAAGAAGCTCGGAGATCGCCCGCTGCTCCCTAATGGTGAGAATAGTCAGCAGAAAAATTGGGCTGGGAAGGCACAGAATTAGACACAGGAAAGTATTGCTTTGGTGACTTTCTCGCGATTTACGGTCGGTGAGTCCAAGGCTGGTGCAAGGTGAGTCTAACCTCACAAGTACATAGCGACATCGGATAATATCATCATTATGTAACGTAAGTAACATGACTTCGGTGGGGAATCTTCAATCCATTCAATTTTGCACTGCCCATCCACCTTGCATCCCCCCTTCAATTCACGCCATAAAATTGCTGTTGTTCGCCTCTCGACATCATTTCTTTCAAGAGAAAACCTTCGCCTTTTCTTTACCTTCAAAATGTTGAGAAGTTGTGGATGTGCAATATTACAAGGGCACCGGATAATGTCGGTTTTCTCCAACAAGCACAAGGCATTGCGGTACTAGGGCTGACAGCAGAGACAAGAGCCTCAGCTTGTCACAAGTTCACAACTCCTTCATGTCCGTTCATGGTCGCGTTCTTACATGACGACCAAGGTAACGACTGTCAGCCTTGTTGCAATGCCTTCTACTCACCTTTTTATTCCCTTTGGTCGTCTAGGATGCATCTTCGTCCAAGTCTAGGCGTTGTTCTTGCACTATGGCGCCAATGTCGTCATGTTTCGAATATAAACACTCCCTCAGTCAGACGACGATTCACAAACGAAGTCACCCCAAGCACCACACGTCCCTCGAGTTACTACCACCCACACATACACTCATCCTTCAACTAGATGCCACATAATGGATCAACTCGGCCAGGTGCTTTGCCCTCACTGAAGAAGATTTTCCGGATTCCTATATCCCCGCATCCATCGTTTGGCCGATTCATGCGGTTTCTGAGACGAGGCAACCGACGTCCCGCTCATTCTCCTCCCCTCCTTGCCACGCCTGAGGGCGACCACCATTTGAGTCGTCACCCGTCATCGATGTTCTCAAGACGCGCGACCAGGAATTTTGGAGGACCAAGTACCGGCACCGTTGACTTGGGGATTACGTGTCTCTATGACATCAATGAATCATTACCCTTCCTCGACGTCGCAGCTGCTAATACCGACATGGATGTATCAGCTGATGAATACACTCCCTATCAGAATCATGCCTCGACAAGCTCTGCTCCTCCGCCTTTGTCAGCCCTTAGTGGCAAATTTCCCGCAAATTGGGAGTCAGATGGAACCACCTCGGCCGGATTGTCTGCGACAGATATTGTATTTCCAAACAGTTTGTTGGGTACTGGGTCGCTCTTCTCCGCTGCCCATCCGACTACAGGCTCGACGTCTCATACAGGCCCCTCGGCATATCCCCTCCTGCTGGGTGCGGAAGGAGCCCGGCTCGATGCTCATCCGACTGCGTCAACATCTCAAGCAGGTCCTTTTGCGCATAGCTTCCTATTAGACGTGCAAACTCCCAATGCTCTTGGGCTTCACTTTGCAGACCTTTCCGAAGAGACGGCCAGGCCGAGTCGTCCGAGTCGTCCCCTAACGCAATACCGACAGCTACCCCCTTTGTCACCCACCTCATTCACCCATGATGATGAATCAATTAACGAAGAACACGATAACGAAACGCCATCCACAGCAAATGATGAACCACTCCATGAACCACACCAAGACGCGACATCCTCAAATAGTTCGTACCACTCTGCAAGAGAAAGCCCTTCTCTGCAACAACAACATCTACCAGACATGACTTCTGGTAAGTAACTTTTATTGTTCTTTGACGGCGAGAGCTGACCTGAGCCTCTCATTTCCAGCCATCGCGCAAAGGATCATCAGTGATTACTTCAAACCAAGCAAACTCGTCATAGATCGGGAGGTATCCCTGATAGACATGCGCTCCGTTCTCTTTGCACTCCGTGACTGTCTTCAAGACCTTACTATCGGTCAGATTGGTACTGGAGAATCTACCTGGCCTTCTGCAACGCCGACGATTGATATGTCCCACCTAGCATCTTTGAAGGTGGATCGAGTTGACTTTTCCTTCTTGAAGGAACTGCTCGCTTATGTGAGGATGGACAACCTCACAGCCTTAGACCTTCGTGTCGATTCGCTAGAAAGCATGCCCCATGAGCTGAACGTCGGATGGAACCGACTTGAGGACCTCACCCTACATAATGACTTCTCACCCGAAGTCCTCAATAAGGTGATGGATTCCCTCCGCGACGTCAACCGACTGAAATGGTCAGGCAAGTTGGCCAGAGCGAATCACAACAAGTGCTCCTTTAAACTCGAATCTTTGCAAGACCTTACAGTTTGCTCAAATGAGGATGGATGCGCTTTCTTCCTCGGATGCATTATCTCATCCACCCTTCAGACGCTCCATCTTTCACATTTCTCACTTGACCATCCTCGGCATGGCTTTCTAGGGGTCAGAAACATTTTCATCGAAAACAAGATTGATGCCAACCAGTTCTTAGCGATCTTAACCCACTTTCCCACTCTGTTAAGCGCGGATTTTGGGATCGGCAGTACCGCACCGACGGAAAATTTTGAGTCGTTGTGTATGCAACAAGAATTTGCTCAACTCGATTCGCTAACTTTGCGGAATGTTTCCGCTCCGATTCGACCATTGCTTATGTCTATACCACTCTTTGAGTTGACATCCCTCGAGATGTTGTTTGACTTGAAGGCTGACAAGAAGCACCAATTTTGCTTGGGACTTGCAGATTGCCTTCAAACCGAGGAAGGTGTTCGACTAAAAACTCTTCGTCTGGTCGACGCCAACTTAACACGGGAAGAGTTAAGATCGTGCTTGGAAATTGTAGGACCGACGCTGGTCGATTATCAAGTTCAACGGACTTCCCTTGAAGGCGATGGGCAACTTTGAATCATTGACAAATACGTCATGATCTGGTCGGCCACTTCTAGTCTTCTACCTATCAACAATGAGTGTCAGTTCTGTACATGACAACATGTACTAGACGGCCGACGTCCTGTTACTTTTCTATATCACGTCCTCTAAATCACATCTTTACGCCATCTATCCAATATCTTTGACAAAATCGCCTGACAAACCTGTACACGTGACTCGTAATAACGCACAAGGTTGCCGTAATACATACTTAAGCTCTTGATAAGGTCCCTCATCAATCCCTCATCCAATTCAATTGTTGTTTGGTTGCCACCGATCGTTCTTTTGAAGACTTACTCTTTGACCGAAAGACATGTGAACATACTTAACTTGGTTCACCATTATTGCGTCGCGAACAAAAAGACGCTCCTTGACTGGCATGCGGCTGTATCCTGGACAACCAGACACCTACAGACAATGGTTCGCGGAGGTTGACGCCAAATTGACCCGCAATAACAATGGATCTTCATCATATTTAGATGCCTATCTCCACCAAAATATGACCCCATCGCAAGTTCAAGTCCATGCCTTACCACAATCCAACATCGTCGTTTCATTTTCAGGGGGGTATACCAAGTCATAATCGTCGAGCAATAACTGCGTGAGCGTGGCTGGTCCCGAGATAGCCATCAACTGACTTCAATCATCTAGACAAGGAATCAGCGAAGCACTTCATCCCTATCAGTATGAAAGCTCCAGCACTCTCGGTCTAGCATTGGAAGCCTATGATGCTTCCGAAACACCTGAAGCCATTTCTATCAACCACCTCCCCTTGGAAATTATTGCGGAGATTTTCCTTCTATGTCCAAGAGCATCTTTGCGCAGGCTTCAGATTGAACGCCCTTCCGATCCAAGGGGTAGGCGAGCGCCACTACTTCTTTGTCAAGTTTGTCGTTACTGGAGAAAGGTCGCATTATCTCTACCACTCCTTTGGTGCTCATTGTCGGGCACTGGACCTTTCACCCCACATCCTGCATTGATCGAACTCTGGCTTACCCGCTCTCGCGGACTGCCACTTTCGCTGTCCCTTGCAGCGCCGGTGGAGCGTCGCGACACACCGGAATATCACGCACATGCATCCAAAATGATCGATCTATTTTCGAATGAGATGTATCGATGGCGCACGATTGCGTTCACTTTGAACGATAATCTCGCTCGCAAATTTATCGCCACGGTTGATTCCAAAGCGCAAATATTAGAGGAACTAGAATTGGTCTTTGAACAACCCAGCAGTACAATTGTCGAGGTTTCCGCTCTACTTCCATCCTTACCTAAGCTTCGCCACCTGTCGTGGTACGGAAACTTGTCGGCAGTGTCTTTGCGCAACATACCATTTCATCGGTTAACGCACATCCACATGGTCTCGCAAAACTCCGCGCAGGACGTGGTTACATGCCTTTCGCAATGTACAGCAGCGTTGGAGATACAATGGGACTGCGTAGATTGCTGGGATTCGCCATCTGTTTGTGGATTATCTCAAACCATACTCCCTCATCTGCGATCGCTATATTTAAAAGGAGCTGGAGATTTTGCTCATATTTTATCTCGGCTTACTCTGCCTAGCCTGAAGTACCTGCATCTGGAAACGAAGTCCAAAGCACAAAACCATGAGTTGCTTGAGGACTTTTTTCATAGGTCTTCCTGCCCCTTGCGACAGTTTATCCTTAACGACGTCTACGTCTATCAGGAAAGCATTGTCAAATACTTGACCATTCCTTTCTTGGAAACCATTCCCGATATACGTATTTACTTAGGAGGTTTGAAGGGCGATGTCCTTCGGAAAATGCAGGAAGTCAAGGATTCCCAAGATACGCCTACCTTTCATCGACTTCAGATTAGCTACCCCGAATGCAGCTGGCCGGCGTTTACTTGGAAGTGAACGGACATGTTCTGCTAGGAATAAATTTGTCTACTAGTACTCACGCTTAAACATTTATCTACTTGCTTGACGCATGTACCAGTGTATAATATTGGTCCGCATTTATTCAAAGCGACCTTGACCGCCTCTAAAGTACTTAGTAAAGTTCATGTATCTTCCATCTACAAATACCCACACTTCAAATGGTGATTTACCATCCTGTCGAAGTAAATACGAGGGGTACTTAAAGACAAACGACCATTCTTTGATCAGTCTCTTGGTGATGGGAAAATACGGCGGAGTTGAAACTTTGGCAGTGGGTTGCCACTCCAGGACCCCTGAAAATGCTGCTAAATGGTAGATACCGATCCGGACAAAAAATTTCAAAACGGGGGTGCTAGGCTAGAGACAAACCGGACAAGTTTTTCGAAAAAATCAGCAAAATGCTAGATACAAAATCCGGACAGGTTCTCGAGGAGAATGACAGGATAGATACTAACCAGACACCTATGGTCGTATAGTGCAACGGAAAAACGTAGGTAATTTTTGCAGTCAGCCGTGTGGTCGGTGGTTCGAACCTTGCGCTGCAGAAAAAAATTTGGCCCTGAATAGGCTAGATACGAAGTCCGGACAAATTTTTGAAATTTGGTTTAGGTCAGATAAAATCCGGACAGACTTCGCCAAAATTGGTACGGACAAGAATCTGAAAATCGTTGATTCTAGTATCTATCATTTGGCAGTATTTTCAGGGGTCCTGCCACTCCCCACGCAGAGATACAACCATCCTGATGGGTTCATCCGACATCGAACTGACAGTCCCCGCACTTGACAACAAGAGGTGTCAGATCCGGCGATGCTGGACGTCAGATCTGTCACGGGACCTTGACAGCGGCTATTTCCGAGCTTCAGCAAATGCAAATGCAAGTCGACGCAGGTCGACGCTCAGTCCAATTTTCTACCACTAAGTATTCTGATATCGTTAATGGAATGTGATTTGATTTAAGAGAACATGCTTGGATTTGAGAGAGGGAGGTAAGTATGTTTGGTGTGCTTGTGACAATGTGCCTAGCAATGGGCTCAGATCAGTCTTGGTGAAGGGTATTTGGACTCGAGACTAGAGGTTTATCAAAGCAAATTTAAGTATAAACTCAAATGAATCAGTATTCATAGTTGCAATGCTCGAGGTCATAATGTTAGGTTGGGAGTTGCATAGTATGGTTGGAGAGGATTGGAGCTGTTTTCTCTTCTTTTTCAGTTGAAAGGGGCAAAAGGTATCTATTTGTGCTATAAAGTATCATTACACAAAGTTTGGTACAGCAGCGCGGGCCTCTCGTTCATCAGAATACAAGTTATGTCGAAGACATGCTTCGGGGAAGCTTCTAGCCGGGTAACCGGTGGTGGCTGTACCCCCCTCCCCCCACCCGTGGGAGTCGACGTGCTGGATCGGTGGATCTGACACCTCTTGCTTGACAAAGTACAGGTCTTGACTTGTGTTTCCTCTTCAAGTAACCCAGGGTCGGAAAGGTATCAACGAGATGATAAGAGGTTCCTGGTTGACGCTGGGTTGACGGCTTGGCCAAGGCTTGGCTTTTCAAAGAGCCCAAAAAAGAACACCTGCGGCCAATGTTTTTTTTTTCATACACGACGGGTATCAAATTAGCGCTCGCCGCTTAACCGCAAACGATAGTTGGGTCACGGTGGGCAAGAGGCTTCAAGAAGACCCATCCCCATTGAACAAGCGGTGCCGTATCTACTCATTACGCAAATCCAACGCAAATCTCGACCTCGAACCTCAAATTAAGAAGCGCTTGCAGTATAATGTTTACACTGCGATCCTGAACATTTACGTTGACTTGGATATCTACAGGTTCCAGGTACACCTGTATCGTCGTTTGACGTGGGCCCAAGCTGGAATTACCCTCTGCCTTAACAAATGTCACCTTATAGTAAAAGCCATGAGGGAGTCTTGTCTTTTTCATCCTGAATCTTCCCCTTAGTTCATTCACACTGATGCTTTCCAACGCTGATCTGAGGAGGTACCTCCTCCGAACTGTGCTAGTGTGCTCGTTCATATCCATACCAGCGACCATCGTCGTGTTTGTGAATGGTCTCTCACTTATCACCCTCGCGTGGGTGGTTGTCGTTTGCGGTATCACCATCCATCACACGACAACTGCGTGAGCCTCTCGCTGCCTTTTTTTTTTTTGAAATCTTCCGCCTGAATGTCATACTACAGGGTTGTTACTTCGAAATATTTTCCAGAATTGTGTGAACCGATCTTGGTTTCCATTGAAATAACTGGTAGCTGTCCATAAAGTTCATTTTTATTCTGTCGCTTACCACACAATGCCTAGTCTTGTTTTGTCTCGGTCTTTGGAAGCTCACTGTGAATCGGTGGTCAACTGAGGACGCTGCGATTTTGATAATCACTTTATATACTCTGGTGGTGGCACTGTGTCTGACATTGCTGCTTCGAGTTGCGTGCATAGTCCGTTCCAGAGGAATGAAACTCCGGAAGCCATTCAACGTGTTTTCTGAATGTGATCCTCTACCACAAGACTGGGCGCCTTATGAAGTTGTGTTCGGAAAAGCTATCTGGGAGCCTGCCTTAGCGTGAGGACTCGATTAACTGTACAGGTCAATTTCGCTAATTAACATTATCGCGATTAAGGGGAGAAGCAAAAGGCATCATAGCTTTCCGGTTCCTTCTCGCCATTCCGTTGCTGCTGGCACTTCTTTTATTTTCAGCTATCTCAATAATTATAGAGCCCATCCACGAAATTGGACTGGTGCCACACAAGGATTATCGTGCCCCAGAGCTATTGTATGATTTCAATATGGAACCCCCCGTTTGGAGTATCGTAGCGGTGAGTAGCGGTATTTAAGATCCAGTTACACGCGATGTAATTTATGGTATTAGTTCATCGACATGCGTTTACCCATTGCTAGTGATCCTGAAGTATCACTGTTAAACCTCTCTGGGACGATTCAGGTACGCTCCCTGAATATGTTCATGGTAGTGGCTAATCCGTAATATCCACTGACTTCAAGACTGCTATCACTGTTAAACCTCTCTGGGACGATTCAGGTACGCTCCCTGAATATGTTCATGGTAGTGGCTAATCCGTAATATCCACTAGATGTCAAAAACAAGCCTGATTGCGTCCACCTGGATGGTAATCTGACGATCGGGGGTAAATCGCAAAATGTACAGTCTGATCCGTATATCCAAACCATTACCATATTTTGTCCGAGCCGCCGGGAGGGATTGACTGGTAAGATTAAATTGCCATGTTCCTGAAGTTATCTCACGAGATGTATAGCTCGGGAAATAATGTCAGCCCCCTCGCCGGACGTCTCCCCTGATTTACTCGTCACCGTAAATTTCACAACACTACAGATGTACGACGACTCATTGGTTGATGCGAGGAACCGCACCGTATCGATTCTGGTGGGTCTAACAAACAACACCAATGACGTTGTCTCCAACACAATACCAACCCCTCTATTCCCCGGCCTTAACCTTGCTGGGAATGTCTCTCGTGAGTTTAAAAGGCGTTTTGTCAAGCTACAGTTATCGTCTTTCGGGATTTTCAGTGTGAGTCAAAGCGTGATAACTCTTCCTTGGTGAATTTTAACTAATGCTTCTTCAGTCTTCAACATCCTTTCTTGTCACAAACCTCTCCCCACTTTTTCCCGACCCCTCCTCCCTCATACCTCGAAGCCCGGACATAGGCACATTGAGAATCTTTGGTCAAAATGACCATTCAGATTGGGAACTACACCAAGACTATAGAGACAAATCCATCTGGAGAGGCTTCGCATCCGTCGGTGGTTTCTGGACTTTCTTCAATGGGGCATTTGTGATCGCCCTTGGGACTCCTTTAGGACTGATCTTATTCGGTGGGTGTTGAATGTCTATTTGTAGCAAGCAAAAGTTTTACCTGAAGCAGGTATCAACCGGGACTCGAAATCCGGCGGGGTCGTTCATTTATTGTTCCCACCTCGTCAGCTTCCTCTCCCTGGTAGCAACTCCGGGTCTCTTCTCGCTGATTCGGCCAGCACTCAAAATAGCAGTGGTCAACACAGTCTTGGCGATGTCCCTGCTGGTGAGCACCTTGAAGAGATACCTTTGAAGGTTGTGCAACGCATTGGTGGTGCCCTAGCTCAATAAAAAGGGAGGCAAACGTACGATAGTTATAGAGATTGGATCTGTTGCAAGATACTCGTTCATCGTGACCCGCGCGACTTGTAGTCTTGTACTAGTATTTCTGGTGGGATGTGGTCTTTCTGATCTGTATTGAAACGAATGGCACTCATCTCATGAAAATTGTCTATCTAATCAGTATTTTTAAAGCACCAATCCATTGCAGTAACTTCGGTAAGAGCAGAAGCAAGAAAAGGTAGTTAATCCAATGTCAAGTTGACGGGACCCAAGTTGGATCTTGACGGGTGGACAGGAAAATGCACAAACCCAACTTTGAGAACACAATTGAAAGCGGGTAAGTCAAGGCGCTGAAGCGGGTGAGTTCCTCAAAAAGTTCTGATGCACGGAAATTCTGGATTAACATGCTTCATGAAGGAGTCCCAGGACAATGGGGAAACAAGCAGGTTGAACAGAATTGCTGATGTTTTGGAAACTTCGATTGGCATTGCATGGATTTATGTATTTTCGACTCGGATGGGCATCCCTCTCAAGAACTAGTACTTACTAGATACCTTTCATTGACCTGTTCCCCTCATGCACTTAAACCGATGACCACAGGAAACCTGTTGGATTGCGTGAACGGACGACGCACTACTCCCTGCATCATCCGCGATTCCAAAGAATCCGATGCTGGGACGGGGAGGAAGACATGAGTAAGGGATGTGCAAGAATGAAGATAGCGGTCACTTACCTGCCAGTGAACAACTGGCAAGGATGCTTGGATGATAGCCTTGAACGTACGCGAACCGTCAACGCTTCAGTGAGCCGTATGGGATACCAGAGGCACGCAGTTCGGACGAAGGTAGATGAGGAAGCGGACTAGCGTGGGAGTGTGTTCGTTCAATGTTGAGATAATGATGACCAGTTGGTGAACGTGCTTACTCAAATGCCAGAGTAGAAGGCTGCGGTGGTCCTCCCGCTCAGTCCAGTAGGCCAGGCAAACTGGGGGAGTCCCTATCCCATGACCATCGCGGCAACTCGTTGTGGAATGAAGGCGAGGGAAGAGCCCTATATACGATAGTAATTGGTGCAAGTCCAAGGCCGTTGAAGAAGCATTACTTACCTATGCACGCATAGCCATCCTCCCCGCTCTTCATTTACGTCGTAGTCCTGCGAGAACAGAGACAGTCTCTCCAATGCCTTGAAGTTTCTGTCTCCACTGTTTTCCCTCAGCGGTTCGATCTTGGCGGTGAAACTACAAAGAGAAACAAGGAGTACATGAGCAAGTCATCGTCAGCTATGTCTAATCCCAACTTACAAGAGGCCAACCCACTCTCAAAACGAATCTTTCATATTTGTATCTATCGGATCGCGGTAGGTCATGAAGATGATGAGCCACAGATGATACGCCGGGTTCGGTTTGCTACTTAGATGACGGGACCTGTCGATTTACGCATGGTGAACTTGTGTAGATATAAGAATCACGCGACGGTCTATAACAAACTATACATACCATTCTGCATCTCATGTCCAGTCTTGAAATCGAGATTATGTTCCCAGTTCTTCACGCACTTTGACGATACCAAAGATAGTATGGTAATGCTTCGGAAATCCCAATGAAAATCGCGAACGTGACGGTCCTGGTGTTGCTCATGGAGCAAGTGACGTGGCAGGTGCAAGTGCAGATGAGGAACTTAAGTCGCGGATGCTGAGCTCGCTTGAGCTGGGATGGCCAGCAGCACAGTAAATGCGCCCGAGTCAGCTTGGTGGAAAGCAGGGAAGGAGGCGTGTTGCATTTGGTAATAACGGGTAGTAGGGTGCTGGAAGGAAGGTTGGATTTCACGGATTTGGACGCGGATGCACGAGTAGGGTGGTCACAGAAGGATACAGATGCGCCTCCTGCGCCCTCCAAAATCTAGCCATTCCGACGATTTCTGACATCTACACCCCTCTCCTGCACCGCAATCTCGCTGTACGCGAATAGGATATCGGTAAACTTTCGGGCAGGCCAGACGGATGGGGTGACTGGCACAAAAAGGAGCTCGATTGGTCGCATCGTAAGATGGTGGAACATGTCGGTTGGGGACAGAGGGAGGCACATGTCGGGCACATGCATGAAATTAGCCTTGCGCACAGACAGCGATCCATCTCCTGGCTTCCATTCACGTTTTTTTCGTCCGTCAGGAGTAGTCGAGCGAGTTTCTTTCCAATCTGTGAACGCCAACGTACTTACTGTCTGACCTAATTCTCTGTCCTCGAGCCTCCTCTTCCTCCTCCCCCTATATGCCTTTTTCTCTGTTCAGTCACCTCCCTGATTTCGATGTGTTCCTGGGCCTGAACTGCAGTATGCTATGTCAGCTATTTTTTCCGTGGGCTTTGCTTGTCCACTACTGTACTTACATAAAAATCTCTGTCTTTTAATCATGTGTTGGCGTTGGGTTGGCGCAAGGTTGGCGTCGAAATTTTTGTACTGGTATAACCAAGTATTCCACATATTTGCTCATATTTATACACACATTAACAACACTATACCTTTTCCTTTCCTTCCTTCCTTTTTCCTACCTTTACTCAACTCTCTATACACGATTTGGAACTGTTCCGTCTCTGTGTGAGTGAATTACACGACGTGGGAATGCATAAGGTCACTTTGTTTCCTATGTACGCCGATCGTGGATCTGACAGACTGACACCTCTTGCTCCCAACCACCTTACTGTCGACTCTGGTTCGACAACATGGCGCGTCCCGTCTTGGTCGTGCCTTTGTCTCTTTGTCTCTTGTCGGTCCCCTCCCTGATGTTGATGTGTCCCTGGACTGCGATTGATTGGGAGCATTGCGGCGATGACTCTGAGCTCCTCCCCACCTTTTGCAACACACGCGCGTGGTTTTTTTTTGGAGTGGAGGAGCATGTCTGTACCCTTTGTCGCCGCCGTGCGCACTGAAAACTCGTTCGTTTTATTTTGTGCGCTGTTCAGGCCAAGTTTAGGCGCCATCTTCGTGTTTGACGCTCAGTCCTTCCCTTATGCTTGATTGGCGAGATCTGTCGTCACAGTACGTCAAGTTAGACCAAGCCCTTCTTCAAACACAAACACAATAGGTTCTTAAACGGGCTAAGAGAGAGTCTAGGTCAAAAGCTCCCTTGACCCACTTTCCCTATCGCCCTTCCCCACCCCACATTCACAAGCCATATCCCGCTGATTTCATCCATCTCAGTGTTTTTTTTTAAATAGAGATCAAAATGGCTACACTGTCCAGCCTCTCCTTGAAGATGACCGATCGCACTGTACGCGTGTCCGTTGCTGACGATGACATCGCTCGTCTCATGTACTACCTCCACTGCGTTACCGTGGGTGTCGGCTTAGACGTCCTACAAGACGATCTCGTCAGTCATAAAAACTACCGCTCGCTTTCCCCCACGCGCATTGCTCAGGTCGTCCAGACTGCTGACGAGCTTTCGCCCGATCTATTCATAGACAAGCTCATCTTCTGTGACGACGATTGCGAAATCCTCGAAAGGGGCGAGATCAACAAGTTCGTCCGTATATCCGCTGCAGGCAACATTATCTCGCTGCAGAGTGATATCCTCATTATGGGCAAGGTCAGGAATGCGACGGACGTGATGTTTTTCAAGTCGTCATGGCTCGACAAGTATTATACCCAGCCCATGCAGCGTATCATCCGCACACTCCTTGGGACAAAGCACTGCAGCCATTGCGAAGGCGAAGATGGCCTCTGTACGTGTACGAGGTGCCCGCGCACCACTGAAAGCAAATGCAGTGATCTTCTTGCTGCCTTCCTTGACGTTGTTAATGCCATCACCCCCCCATCGTCATCGAGCGCCAATCCTAAGCCATCCACCCATCAGCCGCCGCCCGCTAAGACACCGAGACCTGGAGAGCACCAGTGTAACTGTGATGGATGTGGGCAGAGTTTTTTCACAGGTGCCAGGTATAAGTGTACCACCTGCTATGACTACGACCTTTGCGAGCAGTGCTATAAGTCCAATAAGCACGACATGGGACACCCATTCAATCAATATCGCACCCCTGGTGCGAGACCGACCCTTCTCGCTGCCCGAGCCAGCTCAAAGCCATCTATACCCCGCACAAAAACTGACAATGCCACCAACCCTCCACCACGTTACTCCGAAAAACCCACCACCAAACCATCCTCCTCACCATTCTTTTACGACACCATGTCCGCCTCAGAGCTCAAACGCTTCCTCAAGGACCACGGAGCCACTTTTGATGACATCCTGGACAAGGAGACCTTGTGCAGACGTGTTTGGGACACCTATTGCGAGTCCATGGGCATCGTCGAGCTCAACAAGTTCCTTTCTGAGAACTCGATCTCGACGGCGGATTGTAGGGACGTCCAAAGCCGCCGGCGGAAGGCGAAGGGCATGTTCCGTCCTCCCAAGAGGCCTGCGGCCCCACCGGCGAACACGTCGCAGGTGAGGTGGAGGAGGGACGATACTGTGATTTTGAAAGGCTTGAATCAGACTCAGATGAATGGGAAAAGGGGGACAGTGGTGTCGGTGGATAACGAGTTGGGTAAGGTGCAGGTTAGGATCGAGGATATGGACAAGTCGTTCATGATTAAGTTTGAGAATCTCCAAATGGCCATCGACGACTTGGAGGAGGAATATGAAGAACTTGACTGATTCTGTTCCTTAACCCAAGTGACGTTTTACCTATGTAAGGATTGTCCGACAGACAATTATGTATAAACAATCGACTGTCAAAGCAGAGTACTATCATACTTAGAAATTTCATTAAAGCTGTAGGAAAGTTCTTGGCTAGGACTTGTGTATTGAATATTGTGACTTACGCTATTTGAACCTCCAGTGAGGTGGAAAGCGGTGGACTCAGGCTCGAGGTAAGGAATGTAAACGGAGGGTGGCTTGGGAGCAGGAGGAAGAAGCAGCAGCAATATTGATCGCTGAGCGAGCCTCTTGTCATTGGGCAGCTCAGGGAGTGGATATATGCGCGTCAAGATGATAGACGTTCGTGCAAGTGCCTGTGACAAGGTGCTTTGGTTCCCGTATACATCCATTCATCAGATACTGAATATAGCACGCGCTTTGATTCCGATGACACCACCCCCTCGTCCATCCCATCCCTTAATCTCCGCACGACACACTGGACACCTAGGTAATGTCAACAGGCCGTAGGAGCACAAGAAATAGACACGGACCTAGCAACGTTCGGTTCACCGGTAGGCATCATCGCCCCCCTATGCATCGTCGTTTTTACAGCCGTGAAGAGGCACGCGCCGCAGCATATGTGCCCGCAGGGAGTGAGTGTTGCGTTTGTGGGGGGGAAGAAGCATATGGGGCAGGTATATTCGGATAGAGGCTCTGGTTGTTTTTCTGGGGCTGGGGAGGGTGCCACTGGGACTGGGACAGGTGGGATGGTAGACGTGGAAGTGGAGGTGCTGGGTTCGTGTAGGGACTTGATAGGTTGCGGCTCTATATCGGTGGCATGTAAGATCTTTGCGAGGCTGGGGCTACTCACATAGCCGGGAGGCGATGAAAGGCTGCTGCTCGCTTGCGAGCTGAACAAAGTCCCTTGTGTAGATGGACCTGCGATAGAAGTAGATGTAGAAGGGAGTGGCTTCTCGTCTTCGTCATCGGAAATAAGCTGGTCGACGGCTTCATCGTCCTCGTCCTCGCCCGAGCTAACCATCCAATCGACAAAGGAGATTCTCCGTCGTTTACTCCGCCGGAGGACGTCGTCTCCCGTTTGTCTCCTCTTCCCTCCTGCCATCCGGCTCGCGTGTGAGCTGCTGGAACCTTCGCCTGTGTCAGGCTGCATGAGCGCTTGAATAAACAGCGATTCTTCGGCGGAACTGAGAGAGTCTGAACGGTGTCTTGTGCTTGTGGACATGTTGTGTGATCGGGAACTTGTGCGTGAGGCAGGTCGGGAGAGGGAACCGGAATGTGTTGAACGAGCAAGGGAGACTGCTCTGGAACGTGGTTGGAGGTTTCTGGATGTTAGTGGTGCCGGGAGCGCTAGCTCGTTGTCGTCTGGGATGAAGATTGGCGGTGAAGGGGCGCTTATGGACATTTTCCCTGATAAAGAAAAGAGGACGCTTCGGCTTCCACACCACCACCACCATTACATATCCCCGCGCACGACTCTCAATGTCGGCACACTATTAGAAACACCACCCTCCAACCTCGGAATGAACAACGACCGATTGTTGCCTATTCATTCACCAGTAACAGTACCGCAATTCGAAACGGTGGACCCTACCACAACGAGACCCGCAATGGGTCTGACGGGATTGACCGTCGATATACCTTCATCCACATCCAAGCGACCAGACGAGAAACGGCCGGCAGCAAGATGGTCTAGCTTCGAGTTCAAAGTTTACTATGCTTTAGCATGCATCGTTATACCCATTATGGTTTGGATACCCGTGTCATTGAGCTCGCGTGAGTCCCTACCACCTCCCCCCTCCCCTCTTTCCGCGGCTAATCGACCTTTTTCTGTCAAGCCTCTAACCCTAATTACCCATTCTATCAAATGCGGCTGTCGAACGGCTGGCTATTCGGACGTCGTATCGTAAGCCCCTAACTACCCCCCATCCAAAAAAACTCTAACACGTTGCGTAGGATAACAGTGACGCGCAATACCGCTCCTTTCGAAACAACTTACCCCCTTTACTCATCGGCGCCCTCGCCTTCCTCCTCTCCAAGTTCCTAAGGGTCCACTACGCCACAGTGAACCCAGGCAATAATCTATACCTCATCCCATTCAATGTGGGCTGCTCGCTCGTCATGATCCTTGCATTGCACGGGACGAGTGCCTTGAAAGTCCTCGCGATCGTTTCTGCGAATTATGGGATTGCGAAGATGTGTCGGGGGAGTAGAGCTGGGCCGGCGTTGACGTGGATGTTTAACGCTGCTGTGCTTTTTTTGAATGAACGGTATGGAGGGTATAGGTTTGGGGATATGATCCCTGGTTTGGAATACCTCGTACGTTCTGTCTTTTTTTTGAATGGTTCGTTGTAGATCTGATCTTACGAATGATGAAAAGGATACCATACAAGGAGCCTATCCCCGCTGGCACGTCAGCTTCAACATCACGATGCTCCGCCTCGTCTCGTTCAGCATGGATCACTACTGGGCATGTCAACCACTACGCTCCCCCTCCTCCGAAGATGTGGGTAACCCCTGCCCTTACCCGTTGCAGTTGAAAGTGAAAGTTGACGAGCCAAATGCGAAGGATAGACAGGCTCCGCCCAGCTCTCGGAAAAACAGCGCCAATCGATGGCGCATCCCGAGGGGATGTACTCGTACATGAACTATATCGCCTATGTTCTCTATCCACCGCTGTACATCGCTGGGCCCATCATGACGTTCAATGATTTCATATGGCAGGTCAGTGTCCTTCCTTCTCTTTTCTTTCTCTTTCTATGAAACGGATGTTGAAGTCGCAGGGGTCATTTTGTAGCACCGCCGTCCAACGCCCATATCAACACAAACAACGATAAAGTACCTCCTCCGCTTCGTCGTTTCGTTTATGACGATGGAGTTCATCCTCCACTTCATGTACGTCGTCGCTATTAAAGATAGGAAAGCGTGGGTTGGGGCTAGCCCCGCGCAGATCAGTATGATTGGGTTTTGGAACCTTATGATCGTTTGGCTCAAGGTCAGTTTTCGTTTCGTTGGGGTACCTACTATGTTCCGTGATTAACGGCCTTTCTTTTCGTTGTAGCTTCTGATACCATGGAGGTTCTTCCGCTTATGGGCGCTCATGGACGGGATCGACCCACCTGAGAATATGGTCAGGTGTATGGCGAATAATTATTCGACGTTGGGGTTTTGGAGGAGTTGGCATAGGAGTTATAATCTTTGGGTTATTCGGTAATTCCTTTCTTCCGTCCTTTCTTTAACATCGCAAGCTCGGATCTGATGCTGCTCTTTAGATACATCTATATACCCCTAGGCGGCGCCAACAACGTGGTGGTGAACACCGTTTTGGTGTTCTCCTTCGTTGCGCTGTGGCATGATCTTACGTTTAGACTCCTGGCGTGGGGATGGCTGGTTAGCTTGTTCATCATACCAGAGTTGTGTGCTGTGTATTTGTTGCCTGCGTCCAAGGTAAGCATTTTTTCAAGCTCCCGCCAGCTTATCTTTCTTTATGTTTTTATTGATGTTTTGTCGGTTCCTGATCTTTGTCTTGTTGTTGTTCCCTGCCTCGTGTCCCGTTCCGTTGTTCCCTTCCTCGTGCTCGTGTGCTGTTCCGTTGCTCACCTCCGCGATGCGTACAGTTCGGACAAAGGCCATGGTACAGACACGTCTGTGCCCTTGGGGCCGTATTTAACATCATGATGATGATGGCTGCCAATTTGGTAGGGTTCGTTGTTGGTGTTGAAGGGGTTTCGTTCTTCGCTAAGCAGCTTTTTGGGACGGTTGAAGGTGGGTTCTTCTGGTTCGGTTCATTGTGTGTACCCTGTTGGATTCTGACCCTGCCTCTTCCAGGTGTGCGATTTCTGGTCGGAGTTGTGTTTTGCTTGTTTGTGGGTGCTCAGTTGATGTTTGAGTATCGGTGAGCTTTCGCGTCCCTGGGGTGTGCGATGTTGTGCTGATTTTTGATGGTTTTTTGAACTGAAGGGAGGAGGAGATGAGGAGAGGGATTTTTAGGAGGTGTTAATCAGGTTGTTGGTTGTGAGCCTCAGCGGCGAATAAACTGGATTTTGGATTTTTGAGTCAAATGACGTTTTGAGTTGGAAGTCGGCTCACGTATGGAAACTTGAAGGAGACCGACCGGCGACTGATACCAACCCGCGATGTTGTTCCATCAAACAGGCCTCATGATTCCCTAGATTTAGAGTCCGAGACAACTGGTTCAGACATTGAGTGATTGATTGAATATCTACCGCCTGACCAGGCTGATGATCTATTCTTGTTTCGTCTTTTCGGGACGATGGAGTACACTTTTGAATTGAAAAAATAAAAAAACATACGGAGTTCGTTGCTAGTATCTGATGTCCCATTCCGAATTTCTGATTCACCACGCCCACGACAACTCTTCATATCTCCAGATTTCGTTAAATAGACGACCACACAATTGATCCTTTCATTTCGGTTACCTGTCCTTTACATACATTCATTTATTGCCAGGGATCTTGACGGGTGCACTTGTATTCAATTCGATCGTGAAGCATGTACGTAAAGGGTTTGTTTGGGCTTCGCGAAACAAAAAAATCTATTTGCGTCACGCCTTTTCCTTTTGGTTTATTACCCTCGAGGGCCCAGGATGCTACTTAAAAGGATCCCTTCAACTCACCCTCCTCCTTTTTGACGTCCATTTCAAATGGGTTTGGTGAGTCGTTTTTGGCTTTCTTGGCAGCTTGAGTGACCGACGATGACTTCAAAGGTTAAACCAGCTCGTCAGATCGCCTCGCTCTCGGTGGATTTTCTGGTCATCGGAGCTGGCATTGCGGGTCTCGCGTGTGCTATCGCGCTTAGGAGGGTTGGGCATCGAGTGGTGGTTCTGGAGAAGCATGATTCTATCACCAAGGTTCGTCTTTCTCATCCCCCTGAAACGCGTCAGTGATGGTGCTGATGATGATGAAGGCCACGGGCGGCTGCCGTATGCCTCCCAATCTATCCAAGATTCTGTTTCATTGGGGCTTGGAAAAGGAGCTGCGTAAGATCTCGTTGAAGTCTCAGGGGATAGCGTTGAATCTATGTCAGTGGTCTGGTGTCCTTTCGTGTCTTGTAGAAACCTGCTAACTCGCTATTAGTCGAGACTGGGGAGCTACTTGGAGAACACATCTGGGATGAGGAACTACTACGCGAATCGCGAGGGGAGTTCGTCTTTGCACACGTGCGTTACTCGGGTCTTGGGCCAATCTACTTGAACTGAGCTTGCATTTCAGCATGCCGATTTACGACAACTGCTATACGATACTGCCCTATCATGCGGTGCAACTATTCATCTAAACACCACCGTCGCCGCGGTAGAGCCTGAAGCATGTCGCGTGCGACTATCGACGGGGGAAGTCCTCGAGGCGGACGTTATCGTTGGTGCGGATGGGCCGTCAGGGCTATCAAGACAATTATTCGATCAAGGCGAAAGTGTACATCGTATGAACATGTACAGGTTCGTCTTTTCATTCATTCAATTGTTGTCCCTTGTTCCAGGAACTCATTCATGATAGCGCGACGATACCCAAAGAACTCATTGTACAGGATGAAGACCTTTCTTTCGTTTATGATGGAATTTTGGTATGACCATTGATCCCTCTTTCTTCTTTGATATGCACATTCATGTTGCGTGTTTAGAGATCAATGTTTGCTTGGTTTGGGGATGGAAGAAGTGTACTGGGCTTCCCTGCGGTTAGTGACTAGTCCGCGCCGCTGCAAATACATATAAACTGACATTTGGGCTAAAAATTAAATTGCAGGGAGGCAAGGCTGATTTCGCGCTGTTCATTTATTGTCCAAAGGATGGTAATGAAGGGTCTTGGGAAGAGATTGCACCGTTATCTGCGATGCAAGAGGTGTTGGAAACTGCAGAACCGCGGTAAGCTATCCGCTGCTTCTATTGCTGCGCCAGTTCTAAACATGCTTCTTGGTCAGGCTGAAGAAGCTTGGAAAACTCGCTCAATCGCCAACATGTATTGCCTTCAAAGAAGTGCCAGACCTGGACGACTGGGTACACGAATCTGGCCCACTAGTCTTGGTAGGTGAAGCTGCAAATCCACTACCCGTAAGCCTCTCCTCCTCTCGCTCTTCAACTCCTACTTATCTCTCTGGGCTGACTTTCTTATTCTTCCTTCGACAACAGCCCGGTTCCATCCAAGAAGCAGCACTAGCAATCGAAGACGGCGCCGTCCTCGGCAAACTCTTCTCCCACCTGCACTCACGCTCCCAAATCCGCTCACTCCTATACGCGTTCCACGAAATCCGACACGACCGCTGTTCCCGCGTGACTAAAAAAGAGATCGGGGATATACAGTTCATGTGCCTTCCTCCAGGGGACTATCAGCAGATGCGCGACGATGTGATGCGTGCGAAGAGGGACGCGGGGAAGGATGTGTTGGATTCGGATGCGGATACGGGGGAGGAGGAGGAGAAAGGGAAAGGGGTGGGCTCGGCGGAGTGGGCGGAGATTGTTGATGTGTTTGGGTATGATGCAGAGGATGATGCTGATAATTGGTGGGTTATGTGGGGTCTTTTGAGGGAGAGGGCTAGGGAGGATGTGGATATTGCGCCGTGTAATGTGATGACGGAGCAGGTGGTCGAGTTTGAGCAAGCGGTTAGTTGACCTTTTTTTTCTCGTTTTTTCGGGAAGCATGAGCTGATGTGAGGTTTTTAGCTGGCCGTTGTTGACTCAGAGGCGTAACCTCTCTTCTGCGATATCCAATTCATGCCTTCACGACCTTCACGAACATACATACTCACTTACCACCATCATATGGTCCATTCTCGCATGTCTTCATAGTAGGGTCCTGAGGTCCTATGGATCACATAAATACATCTGCATCATACAACAACACAAAATCCGCGTAGATAATTTAGTACTAGTAGTAGTGCACCACGCACTACCTGGAAGGCAAAGTGACAACCGGCATATCAGGTGGAGAAAACACCTCCAGAAATCTGGACCCATTGCCATGCCGCGGCTCAGGAGCCTGCAGGTGAAGGCGAGAAGAGGAATATCCGTGCCCACCACCCCCGTATCCGCGATGTGAGGACAACGGGGCTGAGGGCGGCGGCGAAAATCCCCTCCTGTGGTGGGATCGATCATCGTACCTCGCCCTTTCTCGATCCCGTTCCTTCTCCCTGTCTCCTTCCTCTCGTTTCCTGTCGCCGCCTCCCTCTCTTGCCTTGTCTCGTTCTCTGTCTCTGTTTCTATCTCTTCCTTTGTCCCTGTCCCTGTCTTCCCTCCCTCTGTCTCGATCTCTTTCTCTGTCGCGCTCTTTCTCTGGCCATTCTCGTTCCCTTTCCCTATCTCTGTCTCTGTCTCTGCCCCTGTCCTTATCCCGGTCCCTGCCTTTCTCCCTATCCCTGTCTCTATCCCGCTCTCGTTCTGGATCTCGCGGGCGTTCCCTCTCTCTGTCTTTATCCCTCTCTCTATCCCTATCCCTATCCCGGTCCGAACGATATCCTCTGTACTTATCCCTCTCCCTCCCATCGTGCCCCCTCATATCCCTTTCATCATACCTTCTCTCCCTGTCCCTCTCATCATACCCCCTGTCCATATCCCTATCCTTGTCCCTCTCCCGTCCATCATACCCTCTCTCCCTCTCCCTATCCCTCTCCCTCCCACTCTCATACCCCCTCCTCGACCTATACTCCCTCTCCTTCTCCCGATCATACTCATCCCTATACCTCGCCTCCCGTTCCTTCCTGCGCATCGTCGTCGGCGGAGGAATAAACTTGGGAGGCGGCGAAGGCGATCTCCGTCCAAACTCAACGATGGTAGGTGGTGACCATCTTGTGGCAGGGATTTGAGGAAGAGCAGAGAGGGGTGCGTCTTCGGCTACTACGCGCCGTGGGGACTCGGGTCTGGGTGGTCGTGAGGGTGAGCGGGAAAGTGGGAGGCGGAGTCGTCTGGATGATGATGATGCTGCTGGTGCTATTGGAGATGGAGCTGGAAGGGGTGAAATTGGTCTTCGTGGTTGAGATGGGGGAGGTGATGCCGGTCTCCTTCGTGGAGAGGGTTCTTTTCGTCGTGGTGATGGGTCTCTTCTTCGAGGTGATGGTTCTCTACGTCGTGGTGATGGGTCTCTTCTTCGCGGTGATCCGTCCTTCCTCCGCGTTGGTGAGGGGTCCCTCGTTGACGGCTTCCATCGGGGGGAGGGCTCCGTTCGTGATGGTCTGAGAGGCGAGGGGTCTCGTCGCGGAGAACGTTCACGCTGCGGTGATGTACGTCGTTGACGGTCGTTATACCATGTCATGTCAGATTTGTGACGAAGATGCTGCGAGCGTGGAGGAGGCTCTACACGATCCTGGCTCTTACTCCGGCCTCTTGGCTCAGATCTATTAGTCTAAGAAAAAAGATCGAGTAAGTCTTGAAATATGATCTCAGCATAAGAAAATAACACACTGGGGGTGCTGTCCAACTGCTATTCGAATTTTGGTACTTTGCAGCTCCATTGTGTGATTTAGGCTTCAAGCTCTCGTGCCGTGTCAACTCTGTAGCGCGGGTTTTAGGTACCTGTGGGCCCAGTGGTGACAAAGGCACTCCAGTAAACGCTACTTTTGGGGAACTTTTGTACTTTTCTGTGGGTGAGGGCGACCGTGGTGTCGGAGGAAAAAAAGGGGGCGCAGCGCCTGTCTCCAGGGCGTTCTAGAATACTTAAGGGTAAGTGATGAGCTCAATACGATGCAAACAAGCGCACCTGTATTTCCTCAAGCAAACTACGGGCATCCTTGACGAAGACCGCTGGTGAAAGACGCGACTTTTTCGACAGCTTGCCCAAAACAGGCGCAGAACGAGTCACTCTATACATGAATGCCATGAGTTTTTAATCAAAACCAACTCGTACGACACTCACTCATTCGCCCGTTCCCAAAGTTTATCTCTCAGCGCGCTATCCAGCCTGTCCTGGTTTCCTTCCAGGAGCCCCCAAGCTTGATTCAGATATGCGTTCCCCTCCGAAATCATCAAGCTCTTCTCGTTCATCACCGTGTCTGGTGAATTTGGGGGCTCTGCAGGCACTTTCTTGGATGTCCGCCGGCGAAGAAAGGAGAGTATGGACTCGTTGAATACATCATGAGGTCCCACTCGTTTAGATGGTGTCATGGATATGATATTGATGCCAATGGGTATATGAGAACGTGCTGGGCACGAGGTATATGTTGACGAGGCCTTCGCTGAGTTGAGTCTCAGGGCACTTTTGACTATTGGTTGGATGGAAATAAATCCGAGTGGTAGTTTCGACCGTGTATAGGGCTTTCTCGTCGACGACAACGGTGTCGGGGAGTAGCGATGGTGACTTCAAGTTGGATGGGACACCATCGTCTGATTCACAGCTTCCAATATATGAACAGCCAAACAGAAATACACAAAGGGGTGGGGAAGTTACAAAGTAACTCAAATACACAGCAACGATGCTATGCGGCCCAACTCAACCCCCATCCATCATCTTACATTCAGACTCGACAACAACAACGACTAGACTTGCGCGATGCCGCACTTTGAGAACGCACAACTTCGTGATATCAAGGGAGGGACATTCTACGACGTCAAAGGCGACGCTCATGTGTCCATTGGAAGTAACTCTGGTAGGCGCTCAGAACCCTTCGTAGCCTGTAATAATACATTTTCCTAGCATTCGATCTTCTCCATCGTAACGTGGCCGAGAGCGCGTTTCATGACGCCAACGCTCGATTTCCACCGCCGAAATGCCATCCAGATACCCGGAAGGCTGTTATCAAGGAGATCATGACCTGGCATGCGGGTGACACAGTCACTCAACACACTTTGGCTGCGGGTGACACAGTCACTCAACACACCTTGGCTGCGGAACCTCTACCTCGCGCATCTGAACGTCGATTTTATGCTGCAGTAGGCAGAACATTGCGAAGCAGGGGACAGCGGCGACCACGCGCGAGACTACTCCCAATCGCCATAGAGCGACCACGCACCGAAATATATAATATAACTGATGATGAGAGCGACAGTTCGTTGGTTTCGCTATCACTGCCGCGTTCGCCCTCACTGCCCCGTTCGCCCTCGCTGCCGCGTTCGCTCTCGCCCCCCCTTTGGCCCTCACTATCGCCTTCGCCTTCACTTTCCCCTTCGGTGCCTTCACCACCACTGTCCCCTCCGCCACGATGGCCTCCTTCACCATCACTGTCCCCTCCGCCACGACGGCCTCCTTCACCATCACTGTCCCCTTTGCCAGTAGCCGACGGCGACAATGGAAAGCACAAGAAATCGATTCTCTGGTTGCACGCCCCAGCTGGGGCCGGCAAATCAGCCATAGCCCAATCCATTGCAGAGTCGTGCTGCTCAGCAAAACCTTCTTCCCTAGCTGCAAGCTTCTTCTTTTCGCGCAGTGTTGCGGAGAGGAACACTGAAAAATACCTGGTGGCAACCCTGGCATACCAAATTGCAGTTTCCATACCGGCGGCGAGACCCTTCATTGAGAATGTCGTTCAGCAAGACCCAAGTATATTCTCTCGTTCTCTGGAGGCCCAGTTCACTAAGCTTATTGCTGAGCCCCTTGTCCAAGCTGCTGTCGTGGACTCTCCTGGATCTCAGTTGCCGACCCTCATCCTGCTGGATGGTCTTGACGAGTGTGTTGGCAACAATGATGGCGAGGAGAAGCAATGTGCCATCATCAAAGCAATCTATACCTGCCTAACCTGTTCTGACACTTCCCTTCAGTTTCTCATTGCCAGTCGCCCAGAGCCCCATATTTGTAACATTTTCAAACAGCCTGACATTCTCTCAATTTCCCATTATCTTGAACTGGATGACTCTTTTGATCCTGATCAAGATATTGAGACTTTCCTTCAAGCTGAATTTTTACGCATCTGCACATATCATCCATCAATGGCTTCTGTTACCAACTGGCCATCTGAAGCTGTTCTGAAGTATCTTGTCAATGAATCATCTCAACAATTCATCTATGCTGCAACTGTGATCAAATTTGTTGGTGACCCACGACACAATCCTCTTCAACGATTAAACATGGTTCTACAGCCCCACATTGAAACACAACCCTCACCATTTGCCAATCTTAATGCTTTGTATCACCAAGTTCTAGCCACTGTACAACCTGAGCATATTGATGCTATCCTTACTATTTTTTGCATTATGCTCCGTCATAGGGGTCATGCTCCCACATTAGCTGGCATTGCAGATATCATGGCTGTATCTGTTCAAGACATACACTTATTGCTGTATGACTTGCACTCTATTGTCAAGGTTTTTGACAATAATTCACAAGTTGAATTTTTTCATGCATCATTCTCTGACTTTCTGGAGAGTGAAACTCGGGCTGGACCTTACTATATTGGCAGAAGAGGCAAATGTGCTCATGTTATCCAACTATTCTTGCAGGTGGTACTGAAGCAGTACTGCAATTGTAAAACCCATGACTGTCATTGTATTCACTGCCACCATGCATGTGCTTACCAGTCATGGTTTGTTTATCTTCCAGATGTGGAGCCTACCTCAACACTTCTTGAACTTCTTGAACAGTTCTTGCTAAAGGTGTCAAAAGACCTTGATTTTCATTCCAACATATGTCAACATCGCACTTGTTGGCATATGTCAATTACTCTTTGTGCAGCAGTAGCTGTTATCAGCTGGCTTCAATCCTGTGTGAGCCACCTTATTATGGCAGATTTATTTTAGAGGCACTAATATCCATTTAAGCCAGATTTGAACTCTGAACAGAAAATTCTTGCTGGATTCCTTGGATTATTTGACAAGACATGCAAAAAAATGATTCACAAGGCTACTCTTTGTTGGACTAATGAGACTCGCCAACCAATTCATCTCCCATTTGTTCTTACTTCACTGTCTATCTTCATGATGTCTCGTCAACTTCCTTCAAAGATGCTCTACATGGACCCAAAAGTCCTCAAAGTCCTTATAGAGAGGATATATTCATGTAAAAGCCATCCTGATTTAGCCAGGGAAAGCTTAACTAGCTGGATATTCTCTGTATTTGAGTTTCTTTATCATGAAGAAACAAGGGGAACAACTGATATACTGGAGGAGTTTTTTGCAGATCCCTCACGTTCTGCTGAATTCTTTCTTGGCAATATCAATACACAGATGGCTCTATGGTCCCTCACTTCCCTGATTCAGAACTCCTCAAAACATATTGCCAATCAATCTTTGCCATCTTGCAAGGATAAAAGCATCTACAGGCTAAATTGCTTAGTCTGCATGTACCACCTCTCTCGTGCTTCCATTTCATCTCCAGTTCTGGTTGATTTTCCTACACTTGACTTAGCAAAATTGACAATTTGGGGTGGTGACTCAAACCCAAACAGTGAAGAGTCATACTTGGACTGGAAAGAGTCAGGCTTAGACTATGAAATATCTTATGATCAGTTGCCAAGCAAAGCTGTTGCTCCACTTATATGCAAACAGTGTCAACAATCTGAACAGTTGAACAAAGCTGTTACTCATTTTTTGCTGGTATGTCAAAATAAGGTTTCTCTGCTCTGTAATTCCTTGCTCACACAATGAACTTACAGAGAAACAGCAAGGCATATGAACTCAGTCTCCCCCCCTGGAAGCAAATCACTGGTCAAACTTGGCACTTTGATATTTTAAATTTTTGCTGCTGCTTTCAGTTGAAAGATATATATTTTGCTCTCACTGTGGTCTTTTTGATATATGGCATATGGACAGTGTACAGATATATCTAATATAGTTGATGTACTTTCATGTAACAAGCTATGTCTTAATTCAGTTGTTATAGTCTCATTGAAGGTATCTACACCATCAGCAAACACTTCAGGCAGAGACGGATATGAAGGGCCACATAGGTGTAAACATAGGCACTAAAAACTGGAGAATAGACCAAAACCAGTGTTCCCCTAACATATTTGCTCTCATTTTCTAAGTTTGGTGATGGAATTGTATATCCAACATATGCATAAAACAAACTTATAATAAAAAAAAGGATCACATCCAAAAAATGATTGAATAAATATGATTTAAATTCATATTTAGAATTTGCTGAACTTCCTGGGCCAAGATTTTAGTGTATTCTAAATATGAACTCAGATCATATTTATTTGTTCATTTTTTGGATCTGATCCCTTTGTTTATTGTAAGTTTGTTTCATGCATATGATGGATGTACAATTCCATCACCAAACTTAGAAATTGAGAGTAAATATACCAGGACAAAAGAGATTTCAGCATATTCCACAGTTTTGAGAGCATATGTTTATACATAGGTAGCCCTACATATTTGTCATGTCTCAAGTGAAAACAACAACAACATTGGATCACTTCATGGTCTTTGTAAGGTTCACAAAACCTTATGAGGTTTTGCTTCACCTTTCAATGTAGCACAATCATAGGTCAAGTATAGAATGTACACTAGGAGTGTTTGACATCATCCAATATTGGTGCAAATTTGTTGAAGAGATCCAAGGTCAATGGCATTTTTGTAATGACCTTAGAAGGTAGGGCTAAATTATGTTTTAAGTTGTTTACTTGTTCGATGATAAACACGATTACAAGCCCATAACAGAAGCTGGCAACTTTTTTCTTTTAGGTTGTTGTGGTCTGTGGTTTGTAGAAACAGAAAGATTGTCAAATTCTCACAGTCAAATGGTGATCTTGGAAGTGATATGTAAATCTGAGTTTGAGCAGAGCTTTAATTCTGTAACATCATAATCCATTCATGTCTTCTTGAAGGCATATAAGGACAAAGTCCAACTCAAAACTATTCTGAATGCCTTCCTTCCCACCCCCACCCACTGCCCCACCTTAATAATGTGTTTACTTATCCATTTTCATGCAACCATTCCCAGTGTCTATGANAAAAAGTCACATCATATTGGTGCAAAGCAGTGTATTGTCAACAAGCAAGGTGCCTGCTGCCACTGCTAAGTATCAACCTCTAGTTACCATGCTTGCCTTGCATTCCAAACTTTAAATTTGGTGTGTAGCAAGCAGGTTCGGCTGCTATCAGGTGTAATACTCCTTTTGTTATTTTACTGCTTGGTCTGCCTTGGTCTGGTGCACTGGCAGCCAGCTTAGATGTTTGGATGTGTAGTATACAGATCTTTAAGTTGATAACAATATGTACAGTCATCCACCCACTAATGATACACTGAAATTGAGAGATTAGCTTCAACAAATGTGAGCACAACCTTTCACCACAAAAACTACATGAAAATCTTTAATAAATGCCCTTCTATAACTTCCTGCTGCCACCGCTAAGCATCAACCTCTAGTTACCATGCTTGCCTTGCATTCCGAACTTTAAATTTGGTGTGTAGCAAGCAGGTTCGGCTGCTGTCAGGTGTAATACTCCTTTTGTTATTTTACTGCTTGGTCTGAGACTATAAGTGTACCAAATTTCAGAATGTTTGAACAGCATTTGATGAAGAAAAACCAAAATTAAGGGTGTATCATTGAGGGGTGTGACTGTATTTCGGTCATTTCTGAAACAGTCCATCTCGAAAACTTCACAACATCATCAATGCTGCCTCGAATGTCTGCAAATTTTGTACAGTGGTAGAAATGAGCTTATATTACTCATTGCAATTTGTTTCATAAAAATTGGTGCAGTATTGAGTGACATATTAGCTAGTCAAAAGTGTATCAAATGGGGGTGGTGTATCGTGAGGGGGTGGATGACTGTACCTGTGGTGAAGTGGTTATTATGCTTGTCTACCATTCTGAACTTTAAACTCGGGCATGTAGCAAGTGGGTTCAACTCCTGACAGATGTAATATCCTTTTTGTTACTTTACTAACTACTTGGCAGAAGTTTTTGTAACATGACTTGGCTAGATCTTCAACAACCATTGTGGTGAGGTGGTTATCAATTATCATGCCTACATTCCATTCCGAACTTTGAATTCAGTGTGTAGTAACCAGGTTCTACTCCTTTTGGGTGTAATGGGTGACTTTCCGTAACACAAATTCTCTAGATTTGAATAAATCAACGAAATCTAGGGTCCTTTGCCGGGATGCCGAGTCTTGTAAGGGTTCAACTTTGATGGAGTCCCTGGTTGGAACCCAGTTACAAACCTTAATCTATTCAGAGGGTACAGACCCCTCGAACAGATTTCAAACGCTGGAATCAACCCTGCCAAGGGGACACCTTTCCTTCCTGGGTACGATTCCTTCCCACATGGCTTAGTCAGCTCTACCTACTCTCCTACGGCTGGGGCATTCTGCTCCCTCTCGTTGCAGTTCAAAGCCACTACAGAGTCTATTAGACGTGTCAATGTCTTATGGCTACAAAATCCCCTCCTGGAAACTGTTGCTCCCTTTACAAACACCCTTCTTGACACCTAACTCATTGATCCACAGCCATGTTCAGCTCAACTTGGGATTTTTTGGGCTTCACCCAGAGTGTGGTCTAATTTTACAGCGGGGTGGATGAATAATCAGTATAATAAACCCATCCATGGGCCTACACGACCTCAGAGCAGCTCAGATGGGAGGGAAGTGAGTTTGTACAAGGCAAGCAAATACATCAAATAGAATCTAATCAGTTGGCGTTACGGTTTATTCACTCCAATAAACCCTCCTGTGAAGTTCTCGTTTCAAACTCCGATAAGGGTCAAATTTATTCATTTTTATAGATTTGAGTTACGGAAAGTCACCCAATATCCTTTTTGTTATACTACCTAGTACCAGATGAGTTTAAATACAAAGAAAATGGGAATGATTGTTATCTGAAAATCTACTGTAGCACAAAAACTCCCTTTTATTATTTTCTTCGCTCCCACAAAAGCACTGGTCAGATTTTTTGTTCGGAAAGGGGTGGTAACAAGTCAACAGTCGTGTGTGACTTAGCTTAGCTTCGGCTGACTTATAAGAAATATCATCTACGATGTGCAGGTACATACGATACATAATTTACTAATATACATACAAGAATGCCTCATTGAAGTAAAATGAAAGCAAGAAGACTCTATGAACAAATGCGAATGCGAAGACTACGACTTGTGACAAGATGGCGGAATAACAAATGGTATTAAGTGATGGTAGGTATGTCCCAAACTTGAAGTTGTGTACGTGTGATGTGTTTATGGTGATGAGCTTGCGACAAATGGCGAGTTATGACATGATTTGATTGAGAGCAGTGACGTGAGCTTTGCGTTTGTTCACAAGGTCTGCGTGAACCAGGTAAGTTCGGAGGTCTAACTCCGACTACAAGAGGTTCATGGTCAGCGATCAGAAAAGAAGTGAAACGTGAAATCCCACCTGCAACAACTTATCAGCTTCCCACATCCGAGTTGGGAGGTTCTCGAGAGCGACATAGACGGCAGGCATTGTCTCACAGCGCAGAAGCTCTGGCTCGTTGTTCTTCAGGATTGAAAGGGCAATCCGGAAGAGAACATCTAGCCCGTCGACAAGGAATACATCCCATACCCTGAACAGGGTCTGTCAAGACAACGGTTAGCGATCCAGCATCGAAGTTAGGTGAGGGAAGACACCCACCTCCACAGGCAAACAATCAGTGAAGAGCGACAGGAACCATGAGAAACAGATAGCTCCGAGATCTACGCCCAGCTCTGTCAGGTGTGCATGAAGTTTGGGAGTGTACTCTTGTACATAATCGAGGAGAACGAGCGGGCATGCTCGTGAGGGGAGCAAAGAGGGCGAGAAAAAGTCTTCAGGGAGGATACGCTCAACGATAGCTGCGAGCATCCAGAACGCTTCCTCCTCGTCGGCATGCACGAGGAGGAGGGTGGAAGTGATGAGGTTCATCCCTTGACAATACCCCACAGCTGGATTCCGTCTGAAACAAACAACACATAAGTATCACAAAAAGGGACGAGAGAGAAAGCCACCCACCGACTGTATGCAACCAATACCCTCCTCAGCTTATCCACCCCCGCCCCATCCCCACCAAAGAAGATATTCAACGGCATTGTCCTCCCCACATCCTTCTCAATCTCCACCTCCACTCCAGCACCAACCGGCTCCGTCTTCAACGCCAACAAATCCCTAAACGCACCCGGTTCCTTCATCTCCAATGCACCACTACACTCGAACCACACTTTACTCCGATACACCAACGGAATTCCGTTCCTCACCAGTCTTTCGAAATCCCGCCTCTGATCGCGCGCATTCGATGACGTCAATCCAAGCTGCGCAAACCCAATCAGGCCTTCACTATGTGTTAACTCGTCTTCCTCTCCTGCGGTGCCAAGCCCTAGAATAGCCGCAGCACCAGACATAGCAGACATCGTTCCCCCACTGTTCCCTCCACTGCTTCCCCCAGGTTTACTCATTGTTCTGGAGGCTTTCCCTCGTTGCTTGACGAAAGCATCCCATTCCTTCCTCTGTCCTGCTTGTCGCTGGTCATGGATCTCCGTGAGCTGGTCGAGCAATTTCAGGACGGTGTTGGGACATGCATGACGGGGAGTATCAGAGTTCACGCTCAATATCGACGTTGTGGATGTAACACCTATCGTCGAGGCGGATATCACACCAGATACAGCCATAGACGACCGTTTGCGGCTCTTCGATGACGAACGCGATTTCGTGCTCATAGATCCTGCATTCGGCGACTCCGTGCTCTTGATACTCCTCAAATCCGAAACGGAAGCAGGAAGTGATAGAGGCATTTCCCCACTCCCTTCGCACCCACAATGGTCTTTGACGATCCCAATGCCAGTCGGGTGTTCATCTCCATCCATGTCCGCACTCTGTTCCTCGTCAGGCCAACTATTGTCCTCCTCCCTATCCGCGATCTTCACCCCAGTCAAACAGGCAGGCGCCGTGTTCCCACACTCCTTTGCGCGAATGAGAAGGAGCACATCGTACTGGGATACATCATACATAAACCCAAATCGGTCTGTAAGTGGTCGATGTGTTGGATCATTCAAATCACTCTGGTTGTGTCTCGCAAAACGATGCGGCAGAGGTATGGAGAATCGGAATTCCCTCGCAGTGAGTGGGGTGTACGTCCTCGACAAGTACTGCGTTGGCGGTTTTGCCATGGCTGGGATTATCGACTCCAAAGGGACCGACAGAGGCTTGCTTCCTCGCACAGTAGCTATACCCATAGACCCCGCACTCGAATTGAGGTTGGAGGTGGGACTTGTAACAGGGGACGTAATCTTTGCGCTGCTATTCGTTCTTGACCCCAAAGGCGACTTCGAGCCCTCAACTCCCGACCCCAGAACAGCAGCTCTCTCAGCTGGCTTACTCTGCTGCTGGCTCATGAATGATCCAAAAAGCGGAGACGCGAACCCAGCAGGTGTAGTCACCGCCCCAGCTGCTACCTGTATAATTGAAGCAGCACGGGATTTCGTCGTCGTCGTTGTGCCTCTGGCTTTCCCACGCTTACTCTCGACCTCCCGCGTCAAAGCACCTTTCAATAACGTCGCAGCTCCAGCACCTTGCCATGACGTAGTGGCCAAATCTGCAGACCCAGACCCAGACCCAGCGCCATCTGTAGCAGAAGCGGAAGACCCTGCCTCCCTTTCCCTCCTTGTCTCCCTAAAACTAACACCCTCGTCACGTGCATTCTGCACCAACTCCAATGCCAACTTTTTGATCAATGGCCCTGTCTCGCGTCCTGCATCTGCAAGGACGCTTCCTGGGTCTGAGGTCATCACCCGCATGGCGTTGGATATTGCACGAAGAGAGGCACCCTGCATCATTATTGGCGCGAGTTCTGGGTCAGCTGCGGATACGGATTGTGAGTCGGGTGGATGCTGAGAAGTTGGAATAGAGTTGGTGTTCGGCACGAGCAAGGACAAGCTGGTATCTGTCGTTATCAAGGGCGGGGCAGGGAGGAAAGATGGTTGAATGGGAGAGGGCAGGCCTGAAGCTCCGATGTTCGTGCGTGAAGATTTAATTGAACCCATGATGGATACTGCATCGGACACTGTGTCCTCTGACACTGGGACAGTCGAATTTCTCTTTGATGGGGTTGTACTAGGACCATCCAGCGTCGGAGACGCTGCAGCTGTTGTTGAGCTGGACGTGGACATCGATGCCGTGGGATTGAGTATTGATATTCCTAAGGTGCCGAATACACTTTTCGCGGATTTTCGTCGTGGAGGAGGAATGACAGCTGAACTACTTTGAGTCGAATTTTCTACTTGTGATGATTGAATTTTGTCGGGCGAAGGGGTACTGCCCGGCCTACGAGCACGCTGCTTGCCCCACCATGTGCCCATCCATTCTCCCATCAGCGTCGAATGTCGATCGTGTCGTGATTTTTTCGGAGCTGTGATCGTTGGTTGATCAGGGACTTCTTCTTCTTCTGCTTCTTGACTGTTTTGAGATTCAATGCTCGTGTTCGTAGTAGATGTCTCTATATGTGTCTCGTTTGTGGGTATCGCTTGTGTAGTGAATAGAGCTGTTGTAGATTCGGTAGTCTCCTCAGGCATCGTGCTGAGGGTTGGTTCTGCCATATTCCGTGAGATAGGAGCTTCGTCCGCGATTGCTTCGCTGAGCGATTCCGTGAGCGACTTAGAATGCGCATCAGAACTTGAAAGTCAAGAACTAAGACGTAGAAATTTACCAAAACACTCTGCTTCCTCCTCACCTCGTGCTCTTCCTCATCATCATCCGCAAATAACGCCCGAATCACCCTTCTTGCCGTCTCTTGTTCCGCAGGTTTGACCAACTGCAGCTCCCGTATCAATTCATCTGCCCTACGTCTCCGTGAAGCTTCTTTCTCCTTTAACACGCGTTGGTTCTCTTCCAGCCCCACCCGCACGCGAGATAGAGTGTGTACCGCAGAGGAGAGGACGCGCAGGGCGGGGTGGTACGGGTGTGTGGAGGCGTCTGCGGGTGAATCAAACGCGGAGAAGGAAGATATGGTGGTTTGTATCGCTTCGTCTGAGTACTCGTGCCATTTTATCGCGAGCACTTGGTTTGCCAAACCCGCGGGAAGGAGGGGATCTGTGACCGCATCTATCACCATGACTTCTGGGACCAGGGCCGAATGATCTAGTTGGGAAGACGAGCCCACGACGAAAAGTGGTGGAACCCTGGGTGATGCTGGTGTCTGTTCCCACATCAGAGCCAGAGATGCAGAAGACGTAGAACCACGTCGGCTCCGCCCCTCCGCGTTTTTCTCAGGTGCTACTTTCCCATATCCGCGAACGCTGCCGTCCCAATTGTGATGAGTGTTCGTGGTGCTGTCCTGTGCCTCGAGTTTTGCCTTGAGCGCAAAGTAGTTGCTGCTATTCGTCGCGTGTGATGTTCTTGAGTCACTTCCGAGTCCATTGCCGTTCACGGTGTTCCCACCACCACGACTTCTGCGACCACGAGCTGACGAAACGGCGTCATCTGGAGATAGAGGGTGCGAGTGCACGGGTGTTTTGAGCTGAGAGGGCGTCGAGGTCATGGTTGGGGACCATTCATTAGCTTGAATTAGCAGGGAGACAAGTCGACCTCGTTCTTGATCTATGTCCGGGGTCCCTTGTGACACGCGATTTAAATCTAAAATTCCAACGCCACGGAAGATAGTTGTCGTAGGCAGTGGAAAGAGGGCGTCCGACGCTGTTGATAACGATGAGGGTGAAGGAAGGCCGTTCTCAAAAATATTATTTTTATTTTATTCAGTTATTTAAACAAGTCAGCAACTAGTTATGTTGTACTGCTAAGTCAGTAAACTCTTGTAGCTAACTGATGCTAACGACGTCCGCTCTCCATCATCACAGCACACGATCGCGTACGTTATATCCCTATGCCACTTTACTTCACTGCCCACTGACCAGAAACCCACCCCCAGCTGCCTCAAATTCGGATCCCCTAGAACAAAGGCAAGAATATCCGATATCATCAAAATCAATACACGCGTTTGAACACTTCGCAAGGACGTCTGACCGAATGTACGTGGTTACAATGCGTACAAGATGTCCTTGGATCCTGAGTGATCCCCGTGGTTTGATAAAGGAGGTATTCCGCCTGTCAAGATCCTTGCAACCCCGGAACGACAAGGATCGTTTGCAGTCCACAAGCAATTAGATCGCTGGTGGGAAACACGAGGAATTGGACGCGAGGACGATACATTTGAGCTACCGCAATGTCCATCGTTTCCAACGACCCCGGACCAGTTTGACGCGATGCACGTAAGGCGACGGATCTGAGGCAGAGAGAATGGCGCTGTAAATGTAGAGTCGCTTACGACACAATGGCACGACGCCACAAGGTCTGTGCTTCTTTTAAGGGTCCCCTACTGACCTCCAAGCCTTTCACTCTTCAGTCTACATCCATCAACTGTTTGAAACTGCCGGAAAAAAAAAGATGACAAGCGACCACTTCAAGTCCTCCTGGCAGGTATTTACGTGTCACCACCGAAAGCCGGAAAACGAAAGGCGCTCATATATCTTTCTGATAGCAGTAGCTATGGTCCGAAACAGGTTCAAGCGAGGAGTTTTCTCAGTCGCTTGTCTCTGGAGGAGCAGTTCGTAGGCCTGGCTGTTGTCCTGACAATTCAAATGCACTAGTGAGGAACGGCGTGGGCTGAGAGCAACTCCTGTTTACAGACCAACAAAAATCGAACAATGGCTTTGTTCAAGTCTTCATCCAACTCAGCTCCCAATGCCGGGTCAACTGGCCTAGGAAAGTCGACTAGGACTGGAGACGAAACCGAAGCGCAGGAAAGATGGTGGATACAGATCGAGCAACGCTTGTCATAGGGAATGCATTCTGGTTCACCAAATTCGATCCCCAGTTTGAAGGGCGGAACATGACTTTCAACGAGGCTTGAGGGACCCCGTAACAAAGTGGTAAGCGACCAGATGGCCAACTGTGCATTGGTATCACCGAGAAAATACTCGGCGGAACGTGAAGGATCCTTGAAAAACTGCTTCAACTGCAAATAAGATGGTAGTCCGAACCGAGAGTGGCAGGACTCGGCGAATGCGCTGATTATTGTTGATTCAGATTTCAATATGGCTGCAATCCTTTGAGCAGGAAGATTTTCAGGTGGATATATTTTGACCATGAAACCCCACAATCGGTCAAGCGTAGGTTTTCTGTCTCGCCAACGGGGCAGCATCAAAACAGATAGCACGATGAGAACATCCGCGGGACAACTTCTCGAGTTACTGTCAAGAATCTTCCTGACAGCCTTGTCAAATAGCCCACAGAAGTCAAGAAGCCTCTTCGGTTCATGGTTAGTAGGGAGATCCTGGCATTGACGCTACAAGCATAAGCATTCCGGATATTGGTGATACTGGTGTAAAATAACGGTTAACTGACCTCGGATGATCTGCTGGCGGTGACTCCTGGCCATATGTATATCAGGTGCGCTATTTCATTGAGCCGGCTATAAATGCTGGAGAAACCGTAAGAGTTTGCATCGAGGTCCGTCGAGACCCTCAGGAAGTACTGCTGAAGGTCGCTGAAAAGCGCTGGTGTAAGCTCTGTAAATGGAAGACGATTGGACCAATTCTTCTGGGAGTATGCGTGATGACATTCGGTCCCAGCTTGGTTTGTACAGTTACAGCGCTCTTCTAGCATTACCCGCAAAAACAGTCGGACAACCTTAACGCACCTTTCCCTCCCGCCAATGTAGTAAGGCCCACCTCGATTATGAGATTGCAGAAAGTCAGAGAACGACGCGTGAAAGAATTTGACTTCCGAGTCGCAGTCAACGAGAGAAAAATCGATGATAGACTGAAGGTCATACAGGAGTAACCTTACATCCTGAAAAGATATGGCCATTAGGCCCGCAATGTTGGCTAATGATGGTGTCCACACAGAAAAATGGAGAATAATGCTAAAAATCGTAAGAACAGCATCAATATTTTCGAGTCGCACAGCATCTAAAACTTGACGATACAAGTTATCGAGATTTGTGAACGGAGAGATTAATCGTGCTTCAGTCGGAGAGTCTAGGACCATGTTCAACCGTTTAACAGGGTTGTGCCGTGGGTCACCGACAAATTTGATCACCGTCGCGGCATAGATGAATTGTTGAGATGACTTGTAAATGAGGTGCCTGATGTCATCTTTGGATGGCCAATCAACGACTGAAACCATGGATGAATGATAGGTACGGATGCGGGAAAATTCTGCGTCAAGGAATGTCTTGATGTCTTGGTCGGGATTGAACGAGTCATCAAGTTTAAGGTAATGGGAAATGGAGAAAACATCATGCCGTCTGAAAATATTGTGGATGTGAGGCTCTGGGCGGCTGACGATGAGAAATCGGAGAGGAATGTGAAAACGAGTGAGGGTGGTGTATATCGCCTCGATGATTGCACATTGTTTCAGCTCGTCGTGACACTCATCTAGGCCGTCGAGGAGAACCAACTTTGGCCACGATGAAGATGGGTCCTCAATGGCAGCTAGGACGAGCGGCCGAGCGATTAGGTTAGCGAATTGAGCCTCCAAAGAACGAGAGAATATGCAGGGGTCGTCCATAACGACATTTTCAATGAAGGGTTTCGCGGCTGGTATGGAGCGCGCGATCTGATACGCGAGCGTCGCCACCAGACATTTTTCTGTATTCCTCTCTTCCGCATTGCGGGAGAAGAAGAAGCCTGCGGCGAGGGTGGCAGGTTCCGCAGAGCAACATTCATCCGCAACCGATTGTGCTATTGCTGATTTTCCGGCCCCGGCTGGAGCGTGTAACCAGAGAATTGGTTTCTTGTGACAACACTCAGCACTTCCGCCTCCACACAAATCTCTGTTGTTGTTGTCTGCTTCAAGCCAGGTTGTAGTGATCGTCTTTATAACTACCTTGCGGGTATCTGGGTGACATTTAGGCTGGGGAAATCGAGCGCATGAGTCGTGGAACGCGCTCTCGGCCACATGGCGATGAAGATTTTCAAAGGCTAGCAGAGCTATCAGTAGAGGCCACGATGATGGGTTTTGGTAACGTTACAAGAAAGGCTTCCACTGGTTAATACCTGGACGTGAGCGTCATCTTTGGCATCGACGAAGGTCCCTCGATTGATGTCACGTATGTGGGCATTCTCAAAGTGTGGCATTATCGTTGTCGTCAAGGGAGGAAGGCTATTGAGCAGAGTTGGATACAGCCTTCGTGATGGAGACGGCACAAGCTGGAATAGAGCAGGAGGGAGTGCGTCTCTCAGTAGTGGATCCGGCCGAGGTTTTATGTATACGAATTATTAACACGCACTTAAATCATTTCTTGCCGTTAAACTCAAAGCCTACAGCCGGGGATGAGCGCGCGCTTGAAAGATAAGGGCATTCTCACAGTGTGCACCTGAATTGCTTTCAACTCCGATTCCCCTATGACACGCGAGTTCAGCCTAAAAGATCAACACAATCGTGTATATCGAGGTATGTGGTGAAGATAAGGTGTTAGATGCTCTTTATGACGTCAGTCTTTCTGGTTGAGTTTTGAAGGATCGGCGATGATTTCACATTCAAAGCCGATGACAAGTTCCTTTGGCAACGTGCTGTCCGTGAGACAGAATGTATGTAGGCCAGATTTCGGGGAGGCCATGCGCTTTATATTTGATCCTGGAAGGCGAAATTTACCCTTGATTTTTGGAGAACCACACGCAGTCTAGCTTTAACCTGACAATTAGTTTGATCAGGGAGATGGTGCCAAACTCGTGCCTTTCATTGCTTTCAGGATGAGCTGGAAAGACCAACGCTGATGGGAGTAGCCGTTGTGATATCAAGAATACCGCGTTTGACCGTTGATGACGATGGAGGAAGGACCTGAGGATAAAGAAGGGACTGTACTGAGCAATAATTGTATGTTCAAACCAAAATCGGGCCTGTTGGATGCAATAAGAGCACACAAAAAATCATAACTCACGTGAAAGGGGGTCCAGATCTATAACACTGGTCTGAGAACAGGTCTATCAATGCGGCCAAGGGGGCGGCAGGGGCATTGAAGGAATCTGCGGACGAAGGAGAGGTTAGACTTGAATGTGGTAATCAGACATAGCAAACTGTCAACTAATTCATCGACCCTTGCTTCTTTCTCTTTCCTTGTGAGTGAATTGATTTGGTCAGGTAGATGACTTCGGTGTGGCTAGATGTCTTCTCGGAGAACAGTCCTTTAAAGAAGTTTGGATGTAAGCTGTGAGCCCTATGCATGTTCGTGCAAATAAGCATGCTCAGGTAAGTGCTGTCGTGACCCAGCGGTTGGTACTCCCGGTGGCAATACATATGTAGTAGAGGTGGGTTGTATTACCTACGGATAAGAGAATGGGATGGCATTGGGGCCCGGACTTGAATGAGGATGCAGCTCCTCTTTTGGGGCAGAGCTGTGAGAACATGCGTTGAGAGGCTGAGCTCGGGCCACATACGAGGATGATCTGTTGGCTGACAGTACATAGGATAGGATGGTTGAATGAATGAAGGAGACAATATGGGTAACGGTACTCGCCTGGCAAAGACGAGTTGCTGGGACAGGGACCAACGCAGTAGGCCACCCCACCTAGACCTCGCCACATTTGCCTCGGTCGTTCAGAGGACAGATGCATCGGCAGCTCAGGCCCCTTTTCTAGCATCCTTATCGCCAGCCTCGCCATGCGTTTTCCCTTAATGAGAACCTCATGTGTCCACATCCTTGTATCCCCAGCGCTTGAATGGTTGAAGGCAAGGAGGGTTCATGCGACCCCGGGTCATGATCAGACGGGTGTGTGGGGGGTGTGATGGTAGCGTAAGTGTGCACTCGCTTTCGCAAGATCTATAGCAAGGGAAGTGCACTGTATGGAATACCTCAAGTTGAGCGTGCGCCAAACACGATAAATCTGTCTTGAAGAGCGTTCGTAAACCGTCTCAACATCGATCGTTGATCGCGACAAGTCACAGAGAAAAATGTTGAAACAGCGCAGTCAAGGATTTCGAATGCTGCAAAGATAAGAGGTTTCAGAAAAAGGAGGCAAAACGTGCAACGATGGGGTTATGGAACTCGGCCCCCGACTCGTACCGAAAAGATTTCCGCCAATGGATTTCTCGAATCTCGAACGTCGGGCGTTGCATGATGATCATCGGCGCCTTTGACCTCCTATCACGTGCCTAGTTTTTGCGAGTTCTTCAGCTTCCGGTCCGAGCTTCTGGAGTACAGTGTTTTGCATTGCCGTCTGCACACGAAAATCCGAAAACTCTGTTTGGTTCTGTATATTCGTCACAGATTGTCACACACTAGAACCACGTTGGGAATTTTGAATCTTCCACACCCAACTCTCATGGTGCCATAGGTATCAGATGCGATGCGCGCGCAGATTATCATTTGGCATGGTGGGCATCGTGTCTCAGCACAAGAAATTTCAAGCCTTGTTGGATGAAGAGGTCTGTTTCTCTCCGATTTGTGGCAGTCACGGTACAACACGTACAAACATATTTTCCAAATTCCGTTGTGCAGACGGCAATGCAAAGCACTGTAATGCTTCTGCTCCCTCTTCACTCTCCCCACTCCGAACGACTTTCCGCCTCCGTCCCCTCCTATTGTTCCACCGAAGCGAGAATCTTTGTCGATGTAGAGATAAAGGCATGCTAGCCTCCCCTACAAGCTCAGACGACGACATCGCCGACGACTAAGATCAGGAGGTGGGAGGAGCTCACCGAATAAAACTCAGCGAAACTCAACGCCTATTTTCTGACTAAAGATTAACGACACCTATTGACATTCACCCAACAGGACTCAGCGCACTCTTCCTGTTGGGGGATAGTACATGATTTATTCTCGTTTTCTGCTCCTCTCGGTGCTGGTCGTGGTCCTAGTAAAACGAGGGTCGAACGCGCGGACGGAAAGGGCAGAAACGATCAAATCGCCCCACTAAGTTCGTCTCCTGCTTTACTTATCGCTCCCAATTACCTATGGGGCTTCCGTTCGTTGCGACTGTGTCACAGTTTCCATCAAGAGGCACGGCCTCGCCATCCGTTTCTACGCATTCTGGGTCGCCATTCGTTTCCACAGGCAGGGCCTTCCATTCACTCAAGCTCCAGTCGATACAGCAGGACTGTACGAGCTTGGATACAGACATTGCCAACGGGATCTTCAGGTTTCGCATTCCCGTTCAGTGCAATTCCAATCCCGTGAGGCGTTGGTGAATTGACTAATGAACGCTCACGAATGCAAGAGTTTCGGGTTTTGTTCTCGTATATCTCTAATTAGTTACTTTTACCTTGTGTATCGATTCACTTCAGAAGCTTCAACGTTCAATAATCGGCATTTGCAAGTCGCACGATGTTTGCTTCGTTTTTTATGATCAGTTCCTTTTATGATACATACATATTAGCAGAACTACGGTACTAGTACCTCAACCCCTTCTGAGCCTATGTAAGTCCTGACATATCCCATTCCGAAAGCAATACACTCTTTCCGATGTTCATCAATCAAATAAATTCAACAAAATCTAGCCAAACGGTGGATATCAACCACTCCGACAGAGGGAGGAGACCACTCACCTTGATTCACAACTGCCAAATAAAATCAACAACTACCATAACCCAAAGGCAAATTAGAGACTCACAGCCTTTTTCACCCTTAGAATTAATCACCATGTATCCTGGAAAAGACTCTGTTCCAGCAAAGCGTCAACAATCTGGTGGCAAAGCAGAAAAGAAAAGAAATACGGTGGGTGACCTTAACTCCATCCGTGTAAACGATCTCATTTTTGTTTAGTGATAGCCAGTTGAGGTAGTTGTAGCCTGCGGTGGGATTATATAGGATGAGTATCTCAGGAACTGTTATTACTCACTGTGATCATATCTTATCCGAGCGCGGTTCGTGAAATTTGAATCTGGACCATCTGAAAGAGCAGGGACTGTTGCCGCGGTGTCTATTGGATATTTACTGAGAACTTTTCCTGATGTAGGCTTGGCCTTGTGGTCCGATGCCGTATTGGGGGTTGCATTGACAAGGGCTACAGGCTCAGCGCCTTCATCGCTACCTGGATAAGTGTCACCTTGGAAGGATATGACGTCGGCGTCGCTCATGGCAGTGTCGCTATCTACGTCTTGGAAGAGTTCCATGTCCTTGTAGCGTGCATGACCTGGTGTGACCAGGCCTTCAACTTTTGCGATACATGCTTTCAAGCGCAACGAAGAGGGTGTTGATGCGTCCTAATGAAACATCGTTTTCGTTGAAGAACGTCTTTGCCTTTTCATCTCCTTTTCCCTCTGATAAGTAAACACGATAATATACTGCAAAGCTTATGAGTGCACTATTTGAGTAGGAGACATCGACAAGACTTGCCGTAGTGGGTATTGGTATCATCAGAACGTTCCGGGAGCTTCTCCGACTGTGAGACCTCCGAGTCGGTCCTTTTCTCCGACTCGACAACCAATGCGATCGGATCCTGTTCGGAGAGGCCTGGCCCAGAAAGAGCGGACAAAGAGAGGCGGGCAGAGTCTTCTTTGGGTGCAGGGCTTGAGAGCGGTGTGAAGAGAAGCACCTTGTCGGGCACCAAAAGGTCCTCAAGTTTGCACAGGGACCGCTTAATAGACGCCACCGTACGAGGAGGGGCAATCGATTTTGACGGAATGCGGCCAATGAAACGGTCGTTGTCGTAGAGGGCGTGGTTTGATTCAAATGCACCGAGTTTGGTGTATAGGCGGTAATATACTGCATGAGTAACTTAGACCATTGAAGACAAGGGTAGAGTCTTCGAATAGGGCGCACCATAGCTAGGACCCTCTCCTGCTTTTGCTGCTGACTCTGTACCCCCTTTGCCATCTAAAGAGGGATCCGGAGCGGAACTGGAGATATGATCATGGCCAGGCAGAGTAGACATTGCTGTTCCCAGCCAGAATCTGTTGAAAGATTAGCAAGATGGACGATTGGAGGAAAGAGTTATCAGACGCCTCCATCAATCATCATCATGGCATATGCCTAGACTAGCGCCGCGCTCTCTTTGATTGGCCGTAGATTTGTAACCATCTTTCTCCCTTGACCTGCTCTTTGGTGAGAACTTGCGATCTATGCTAACGAAGAATACCCCGCTGCATAGATCGATGATGAAGATGCTTTCAAACGAAGGTGGGACGTTGGTGGGACGTAGGGAAAAGGTAACATAGGTGTTTGATATACCTCTGTAACTGTTCGACACTCTCTTTGAACGTCGGCACATATACCATCTTCATTAGCGCATCTCGCGTCCAGCCTATATCTCTTTATACATAGGTACTAACCGCCAGAATCGTAGAATCTTTACGCAAATTTGTCTTCAGTTTTTTTTTCCGGTCCGAGCATCCCGAGTCATCATTCACGTTCACTCTCACCACGACATGGTTCTATTCCCTGCCTCTTCCTTCTCCTCACTCCGAACGACTCTCCGCCTCCGTCCCCTCCTACGTTTTCCACCGAAGCGGGACTCTTCGTCGATACGCGTACGTTTGTTTCCTTTTTCAATCCACTTTCCCCGAAAACAAACCCGACTACTCACTCTACCTCAACCTCCTCACAACCTCACTCTGACGCGCTCTCACTCACTCATTTCAACACACTCACGAACCCCCTTCAACACAGGACCTCCAAGCAGCCTTCCGCGACCCCTCCTCGCCATTCCACATCCCACCCGGACAATTAGGGCCTTCCTCTCCCGATGCCCCACCACCACCGACGCACGACCAGGCCGCAGCGCAAATGTCAACGCTAGCTTACCAACTCCCTCCAGGCTCAGCCGGCCGCTCGGACACACCGCATACATTAGAGCAAGCGAAAGAGTGTTTGAGGGAGTGGGGATATGACCCGCTGTCGTTTTGGGAGCAGAGGATCGTTTGGGGGGATCATGATGCGTTTCAGTGCGTTCTTACTTTACTTTTGCTGGATGAGATGAAGGGGTGTTGATGGGGTCAAATGTGTAGGCATGTCAATAATGTTCGTTATGGTGAGTTGCTTTACGTTGTTACAGAACAGAGAGGCGAAGAGGCTGATGTGTAGAGGGTAGTGAGGTTCTTTGAGTCGGTGCGCATTTATTCACCTTTTACTTGAATATGTAGGGCTGACGATTACTTACTTACAGGCACGAATAAAATGGATGATGTCACTCGGCGACGAACTCGGTGGCCCCGAACGCGCAAGAGCCATGATCAGCGCGCAGGGTGTTTCCCTCATCCTAAAATCTATAGAGGTGCAATACAAGAGGATCGTCACGTATCCCGATACCGTGCGTCCTTTATTTATTCCTTTCTCATCTTTCTTCCTTTCAACTCAACTAAACCACACGCACAACAGCTCCTAATAGGCTACCGCCCCCTCCCCACTCCCCCTCCCTCAGCTAACTACCACCATACAGACGACAACAGCACATTTCACGTCGCCGCCTCTGCATTCTCGCTAACCCAAGGAAAGATGGTGGCGCATTCGAAAGAAGCGCTGGTGTGGTATAATTATGATGTTGGGAGGAAGTGTGATCCGGGCGAGGAGGCGAGGGGGGTCGTTAGGAGGCGGATGGGGAGGAGCAGAGAAGCACGTTGATATCTAACGGAGGGAGATACGTGGCGCGAGGTGTTTTGCAACTAATATAGTGACGACATCTTGATTTGTCGCGCATATATACTGCTCAAAGTCTTCTCAATAGAGTCAGGGCTCCCCACGTTCGAAAACGAGTTGGAATGATACAAAGTGTAATTGTTCTGTATCCTCACTTCTTCAACCGCTTCTTCGCCCCTTCATCCTTACACCTACGGCGTTCGCGGTTGAAAGCAGTAGCTTATCGTGGGAATTTTATCACAGACGATGCGGACGATTTTTCCAAGTTCTCAATTCCATCCACTGCGCCATTCCGTCGTCGCTGTCAGGGCCAGCAAGGGCTGCATATTATCCTTTACTTACCGACGGTCTCCAATGCGGATTTTTTTGAAGGTGACAACGTCTATGGATTCCGGGAGGCAGTAAAAGTTGGAAGAAAGAAAGTGGCTGGCCTTTCTATTCAATGGGCCATTGGGAGGCCAAACTGGCCGAGGTCGGTCTACTAGCAAGGTCTCATACTGGTCGTGGTCAGACGTCAACAGCATCCCTCGTCCTCCACAAACATCCTCCACGTACACGCTCTCTTACCGGCAGCACGCCTCACCACATCTACTATTACCAACCCTCCGCAGACCTAGAATACGATGTCCAAGCCCCATCCCGTCGATCGGGACAGACGGTGCGCTGATTATTCTCTAGAACCGTTTCGCTCGCCATCGGGATTGAGATATTGAATCCGTACCGCTCAGTCGAGCTTTGGAAGTCAAATTACGACGTCTCGCGTCATCTCAAGCCCTCACTCCGCGCTGTCCGGTATCACCCCTCGCCGAGCCATGACTTCTTGTGGCCTTCGAAGGTTCAATAATGCTGATATCCCGACTACGAATATGTGACTCTAAGTCCTTGACCTGTGGAGAAGAATCACTGCATCTAGAAATCAAGAATTCGAAAAGTTGCTCTTCTATCGACGCTTCGTCCACCAGCAAAACTCTGGATGCAGTAATGCCGATGGCGGTTTTCAATTGAATACCTGCCATGCGGCACTGGGTGACCCAATGCTTCTATCTAATTCAAGAGAACTACATAAAAGCCAGCATCGATAGCGATTTCCCTCAGCCCTTCAGCGACGTCCAAACAAGACACCCGTTCACTCCTCCTTCGCAATGAATTTCTTTACCAGCCTCATCGTCCTCGTCCATCTCGTTTTGTCTGTCGTTGCCTTGCCTGCCGGCACTCAAACTGCCTCGGCGGTTATATATGCTATCAACACCATTGGGAAGCAGCTCTCAAGTACCGCAGGCCTCCTACAGCGTTCAACTATCAATGATGCCGCACAAGCTACAGTGAGTCAGCTCAAGTTTACGCTCAGGTCCATACTGCCGATTCTCATTCCTTTCCACGTGCAGGACGTAGAAAATGATCTTGGTCAATTGACCTCCGATCTAACTATACTGATAGATTATGTAGAGCAAGCGGTAGGTGACAGAAGTTCTCAAAACCGTGGAGACTAGACTAACGGGCTACTCTCCGTTACGTAGTACCCTCTTCTGACTCCCTTTGACGGACCTGACGCCCTCACCATCCTCAACGCTACGAGAGATGTGCTTCTTCGTCAGCTTACTCTACTGCAGCCGCTCCTTGCAGGCGCAGCCATTCCCTTTCATAAGCAACTCGGATCAGCTGCGTTTGGGGCTCTAGCCAAATCCGTAGGAGTTTCTGTGAATGCATTCCTGGAAGGTACCTTGGTGATCCAGCAGAGACTCACAGTATGTCGCATTTTCCTTTGCCTTTGTGAGACTGACCGTACTCTTCTTCAACGTTTGCCATCATCAAGGATGACGTGGCCGCACAGGGGGTCGCCGTCAGTAGTGACATCAAGTCTCGGTTGTATTACATCGATTTGGCTTTTGGCCTCAGCTTGCCACCAGTGGGCGGTCCTTGAGCATTTTCACAGAGGCAGTACGGAGTTTACAGATTTTTCTCGACTTTTGTAGGAACTTTGAATTACCTTGAAGAATGTTTCCCGATGGGACTGATATTGTCCGTCCCTGCTTCGCTCGAATTTTCAAATATCAATGTGCTCATTAATTTCTTACTCGTTTCTATGTACTCTTTTAATCTTGTCGGTTCGGGGCCCTCCCATGGTGGCTCGTAAATGGTCTCGTAAGAATCATTAGTATGGCGACTCGACATTTACGACCAATCCTGGATTGAGTTGTGCTCGAGCGAAATTGCCGCATTCTCATCAAATGGCATTATGTAGATTTTGGGACAGATGTTAGGGTTCGAACGGGAGCGCCCTTGCTTAGTAGTTGAAAAATAAATTACATCGGTCGTTATTCGACTTGGATGATAGAGCGTTGATAGAGCGGCACATTATGGCGAAGCAACACTTTATAAACTGTTGAGACAACTCGAAGGATTGTGCTTGGATTGTGCGCGAAGAAATTGATCGACTAATACTATCCAAATACTATCGTTTTGAAGGTAGCTGCCAATCGCCCTTCGCGCCATCGCCGTCAGGGTCAGCAAGTGCTGCATATCACTCTTTACCTGCCGATGGTTCCGATGCGCATTTTATGAACGTGACTACGTTTTCGGAAGGCTTGAAGCGCGGTAGGAAGAGCTTCCTTTTTGCAAGTAAGTACATCATTTTCTCCCTATTTGTATCCGATGCCAGTGTGCTATGACTGACATTGAAGTAAGTAGTGGCTGGCCTTTCTATTTAACGGGTTATTGGGAGGTCAGTCGGCTGGCTTGAGGGTCTCATGTCAACACGAACTAATTTCGCTAACATTGACATCCGATCTCTCTGGTTGTATCACCATGCTCTCATGCACATTGTATAACACCTTGGACAATATTCTCGCCAGATGTTCCCTCACGAGTTACTTGGCTGGCAGGGGAGAAGTATCATTACTTCTAGAAGTCAAGAAGAGTTGCTATTCTATCTACGCCCTCCACTAGCAAAACTCCAAGTCACGATGCTGATGCTGAACGGCGCCTTCTTGAATCGAATGCCGTCTTGTGGCGCTGGGTCAACCAAGACTCCTATCTAATGCATCACGTAGAGATGGCTATAAAAGAGCCCATCGACACTTATTTCCCTCAGTCCTTCAGCGACGTCCAAACAACTCACTGTCCACTCCTCCTTCGCAATGCGTTTCTTTGCCAGCCTCATCGTCCTCGTCCCTCTCGTTTGCTCTGTCGTCGCTTTGCCCGCCAGCACCCAAGATATCTCAACGATTCTATCTTATCTCAACACAGTTGGGACGGACCTTCAAAATGTTGTAGACATCTTTGCAAGTTCTACTGACACTGATGTCGAACAATTTGCTACAGTGAGTCAGCTCAGTTCACGCTCAGGTCCATACTACCAATTCTCATTCCTTTCCATGTACATGTGTAGCGATTAGAAGGTGGTCTTACCCGATTGACCTCTGATATAACTGCACTGAGAACTGTGGTAGAGCAGACTGTAAGTGGCAGAAGTTTGCAAAACAGACTGGACTAACAGACTACTCTCCACCAGGGCACTCTTCTTTTTTACGAAGCTGACGGCCTTAGCATTCTCCAGCTTGAGGCAAAGCTGTTTTCCCCCATTGGTCAACTGGAGCAGGACCTTGCGGACGCAGGTACCATTTTTAATGAACTCGGATTTCCTGCGTTCGAGCTCCTAATCGATTACCTGGAAAATTTTGGGAATGAATTTGAGGAAACTAGCTTGGCGATCCAGAAGAAACTCCCAGTACGTCTCATTTGCCTTTGCTTTTGTAAGACTAACGGTACTAATCGTCGTTTGCAACCCTCAAGTCTGATTTGACCAGACAGGGAGACCGCTTTATTGCTCTCCTCGCTGGCTTGAATAACCTCATTACTGCTATCGCCCTCGGCCACTCCCTGGGCCCTATCTAAGCATTTTCACGGAGGCTATTACGGAGTTTACAGACTTTTCTCGACTTTTGTAGGAACTTTGAAATGCTTGATGGATGTTCCCGATGGAACTGATATTGTCCGTTCCTGCTTCGCTCGAATTTTGTAATTTCTTACTCGTTTCTATGTACTCTTTTGTTCTTGTTGGTTCGGGACCCTTGATGGCTTTGGAATAGTCTCGTAACAATTATTGGCATGTCGAAGACAATTACGACCAATCCTGGATTGCGTAGTGGTGCTCGAGCGGAATTGTCCCATGGAAGGCTGCTCTCGTCAAATGACATTATGTAAATCCTGGGACAGATGTTAGAGTTCGAACGGGAGCACCCTTGTCTAGTTGAAAAATAAAACTAATCATGACGACAATTGGCAATGCTGCGAGATATCCTGATTTTCGAGTAGATGCCGACATGTTAGGCGGACCTTCACAGTGTTGCCCACTCATTGTCCGTCGACCTCGGACCCCATCATCTTTTTCCGTCCAAAAATTCAACCACCAACTCTACAAACTCCTTCGGCTTCTCCGCGTGTACTACGTTCAATTATTTTCGCCGTCAGCACCTCCCATAAAAAAAAAGTGGCAAGATGAGAAAAAGGACGTACCCCAATGTCCCGCATCCAATTCCTCCACCCTCGAATTCGGGAAAAAGGCCTTGAACGACGGGAGATTTTCGTCCGTTATATACGGACTTTTTGTTCCCCTCACGACTAACGTGGGGCCATCCCATGTTGGATGTTCGGGCTTGTGCCCTTCGCGTCCAACTGGTACACGGTACTCCCACGGAAACGCGCCCAACGCCGGGATGGAGTCTTCAAGGAGGTCCAGGGGGAGCGTGAATCTTGGTTTGCTGTGTGCCCCGCTCGTGCTCACACTGGGCGTATGGGGGAAGTGAGGAGGGATGACGAGGTTGGTTAGCAGAAATTGCCGGATGGAGAGGTCCTGTACACGTTCTCAATATAATATACGTGGGTTTGATACACGACGTACGGGTTCGTATTCTGCCAAAGCCCGATCCGCATCCGCGCGTGTACGGATGACGCCGGGGGCTAAGCTGTTGATGTGTTGCATTGCTGAGATGTACGTTACGAATTCGGGGCGGAGGGGTTTGTTCGTCGGGGCAATGTCGGCGATGATGAGGTTGGAGATGAGGGTAGGGCTGGAGAGTGCGAGCGTCATTGCGACTTTTCCGCCCCTTTTCAAGTGCAAACTAGTAGTGAGAAAGGAAAAATGGACAGCGAAAGAGGTACATACATAGAATGCCCCAACACCGTCGCGTCTTCGAACTCATATTTTTCAATGAATCGCTTGACATCAGCCGCCATGCTCTCATTCGTGTGTGGTGCCGCGCGCGGTGACATGCCGTGGTTCCGGAGGTCGAGGGCGTAAATTGGTCGTGTAGGCAAGGCTCGGTGGAAGGCCTTGCGGAGTGATTGCCAGTTCCTCTTTGAGCCGCTATAGAATACAGATTATCACTCAAGAATAAGAGAGCAGTAAAAAAGAGAGGAACATACAAGAGCCCATGGAGAATGATCAATGCACCTTCTGTCCCGATGGACGCGGCATGAACATCCCATTCTAGGTCCACGGAGGGTTGGTGCTCGTAGGTGTGGTGAAGCGTTCGAAGAGAGCGTGTGCATGGAAGAAGTTTGCGGAGGAGGGGCGAGCGAGAGAGTTGGACCGGGCGGAGAAGAGTCATGGTCACCGGTTATTATTTACTTGTCACGACCACAACCACGACCACAACACGCTCGGATTCAAGCTACCCCACGCCAGCACTTACACGACGCGTCTGATGCCCGGGAAACATGGGTCTTTTAGGGCCAGAGAATATTCTAGGCGCCAAAACAAATCACACCTGGTGGAAATGCTGCTGATGTTGCTCTGCGGAAGAGGACCTACCAAAATGTTCGAGGAAACAAGAGCTTGATCGAGGGATTGGTGGGTGACGCCAAGGTAGTATGGATTGACCCCACAAGCAGTTTGTGCTGTGGTGCGCTCCCTCTTTTTCTTCCTTGCAGTAGGGACAGCTGACACGCTCAAAGCCAAACACTTTATGGCTCAGCGGAGTGCCAGTTTTTGCGCCCCCGCTCAATGCGTTCAGCTTGAACTTGGGAACACAGTCTCGGAGGGGCTGCATGGTCCTTAACGATAACGACTGTGTCTTCGTCCCATCACAGGACTCGACCGAAACACAATCTACCCAAACCGACTTTGCGAAGCCTCCGGAGCATTCAACTGCCATTATCTCCTCGTGCACCCATCTTTGCAACCCATACCTTGTAGCCGACTGTAAGGGCAAAAACTTATTCCAGGTCACTCCTTACTCACCCGCTTGACTCGGGCTGACAGGACATAAGCTCAACTCTTCAAGCCCGCCTTAGTCAGGCTCGGGTGCCTCCATCACAAAAACAAGCACCACAACATACAGTGAGCGACTCACCAGTCATCAGCCTCGGTGAACGGGTCATGTCCTCATTACTCCCTTGGCAACGAGCGTGAGTGGTTTGATAACATGCATAAGGAATGGATAAGGTTTTATTGAGCGTGGTGAATATTGGGAGGACGACGAGGTGTATCTACCATTTCGTTTGCGGGAGAGAGGGGTGCACAACGATGCCAGGGTTTTAGATTTCTTGCTGCCTGTAGTATGCCTAAAATGCCAGGGGGAAGGAACATCGTTGAGTGGTTGGTGCAGGGTTTAGTTTCTTCGGATTCTCTGGGATGGAAATTGCTTGACTTTTAGATAGCTCAGTCTAGCCTTCCGAGTCGCCAAAAAACAATGAGAACCAATAGCCCACCGCGAGGGTCGAACTCGCAGCCTTCAGATTTCACCGCCTATTTAAGAGTCTGACGCTCTATCCGATTGAGCTAGGCGGGCTTATAATACACACTTTTGAGCAGGCTCTTACCCAGCCGTCGTTTCGGGGTTTACAAAAAAAACAAGTTTCATCAGAGAGATTTGACTTAGAATAATTTCACGATTTTTGATGACAAATACAATCACTGATCCAATCATTTATTTTAAACAACGCAACTCTTATTTTTTTGAACCCCTCCACGACGGCTGGCATTTTACAAACGTAAACAATCAGCCACCGTCGCCTGACGCTCCGAAGGTACTTCCTTTTTAAGAACTGGCATCAGGAAACCCTAGTTCGGACCGCGTCGACAGTTCTCCCACCCCGCCCTCTTAGCCATTGCCCAATCGGCAAATATCACCCCCGCACAGGCTGTTTACCGTATATGGCAGATGGAGGGGATTGTGCCGCTGTCAGGCACGAAGGATGAGACACATAGGATCACCTGTAGCTGGCACTGTTTTGCAAGATGTTGTGATATATCCCATAAGAATAATGTGCACAATCATCTGTTGTATCACATACCACTTGCAAGCTACTTGCACAATCCTTGGGTTATCATACATACAATATACATGTCAGCTACTGGCCGAATAATCGGGCACAGAGACCGTTCAGGCGTCACTTGCTCTTGGCATGTCCCGGCACTTCCTGTTTCGAGCTCAGACGTGTGACATCAACTCTGATGGCGCGCCTCCAGTCCCGTTCTGGATAGGCAGGGCGCATAGATCTGCCAAGGATATTTGTCAACATTAATACCGAACTATTCTTGCCGCTGTATCAGACAGCGACCACACGTGAAACTTGAGAAACTCGAATAAAATTTGATAAAATTTGTATAAAATTGGAAGAAAATCATACTACTTTTCTACGCCCCAAACCCAACGACTTTGAGTGAGTGTTCTGTTGTAAAGTCTATTCCGAACGATGGCGAACGTCCAACTCATCCCTTTTGCTGCTTATGTCAGATTACCTTTCAAGCTCCGTCGGCGCTCTCAGGACCAGTCGCCTTTCGCCTCGCCTCTGCTCTCAGTTGACGGCCTCCAGGGTAGACGCACTCACCGCGTTTTAGGGTTCGATGCATGCGCATAACCTCGTTTGTCGCCGCCACCCACCTTCAGCTTCAAAGCTTCAAGCTTCAAGCTTCAAGGCTCATTGATTCATCACCCACCTCTGCCCCGTATGCTTCCTGCTCTCTCTTCGCCTCGGCCTCTCCCCTCGTGCCTGTAGCATTGCGTTGCGCTGGCCCCCTTTTGGTATGGACTTGGTTGGCTGATGTATCGCTGCGCAGCTACTTGTGATATTCATCGGGCTGTCTTAGGTCCTGGGAAGAAAGGAAAGAGGGTGTGGGGTGGTGAGTTTCTGGTGACCCTCCGTTCCTTTTCTCACTCTTACCACCTTCCCCCCATCATATAGTCGGAAGCACTCGGTAGCTGGATCTCCTGCCCCTGCCTTGAACCCTCTCTGAATAGTGCACACAGTCACAATCCCACGCCCATGACACTACTCCCTCGAGACCACTCCGTCACCAACACGCGATCTCTCCGCCTCTGGGTTCCCATCATCATCCCTCAGTTCGAGTTGGTTGCCGCTGTCGACTGTCGGACCAGACCAGTTTGTGATTGCCCTGTCAATGTATCGATGGACGTGCCGCTTATGCGCGCCGCAGCTGATTGAGCTTGCGGGGAACTCGCAATAGATCATAATCCTGGGGGATGTGTTAGGCTGGGGGTGGGTGTGTGAATGCGAAAGTGGCAAGATAAAAGTCCGGCTCGAATAAGGGTAATGTTCACAAGCACCTTCCTGTAGATTAATTCATAACGAAGCAGATAATACATGAAATGTTTAAGCATCATCATTGTCCCCATCAATGTCCTCCTCGGCCTCTGGGGGAATCACTTGATTTCCCTCGCACTTCAAATAATCGGGGACGAATCTCCAAAGATGCTGGCAATAGGCCCTCATCCCACGAAACTGTGCTGCCTGACTGGTGGCTACCACTTTTATCTATAACCTAGACTTAAGCCTAGAGAGTCATTTCTATAACTTAGACTTAAGCCTAGAAGCCATATCTATAATGCTTAGGATTTTTTGAAAGGCATTTCAAATGTAGGCCTGGGTAT